TCATCATCATCATCATCATGGTCATGATCATGTTCTTCTTCATCATTTTCATCATCTTCATCATCATCTTCATCATCATCATCATCATCATGGTCATGATCATGTTCTTCTTCATCATTTTCATCATCTTCATCATCATCATCATGGTCATGATCATGTTCTTCTTCATCATCTTCATCATCATCATCATCATCATGTTCTTCTTCATCATTTTCATCATCTTCATCATCATCTTCATCATCATCATCATCATCATGATCATGTACTTCTTCATCATTTCCATCATCTTCATCATCATCATCATGGTCATGATCATGTTCTTCTTCATCATCTTCATCATCATCATCATCATCATGGTCATGATCATGTTCTTCTTCATCATTTTCATCATCTTCATCATCATCATCATGGTCATCTTCTTCATCATCTTCATCATCTTCATCATCATCTCATCATCATCATGGTCATGATCATGTTCTTCTTCATCATCTTCATCATCATCATCATCATCATCATGGTCATGATCATGTTCTTCTTCATCATCTTCATCATCATCATCATGGTCATGATCATGTTCTTCTTCATCATTTTCATCATCTTCATCATCATCATGGTCATGATCATGTTCTTCTTCATCATCTTCATCATCTTCATCATCATCATCATCATCATGGTCATGATCATGTTCTTCTTCATCATCTTCATCATCATCATCAACCTTTCCATTTCAGGGTAGACACTTGGATATTTCCCCCCCTTGTATCGAGTCATGTTTTCGTCGACTCCTAGGATCCGCATCCATGAGTCGTCTCCTGATGTGGGCTAACCCATTAGAAATTGGTGACGTCTACTAGTTACTAGTTACTACTTAGCTACTAGTGAGTTACTAGTTAGTAGTGAATTACTAGTTTCGAAGCGCCAGTTACCCAGTTACTTCTACGGTATTGACATTCATACATCACAACTTGTTAGTATAATCTAGGTAAATTATAAATTTGGGGATGATTCCCCTTACTAACCATGATTCCAGTGAGGTCGCAGTGAGGTCGTTATAATTTACCCAGGTATAATCAATACAACCCCAAGAAGTTACACTAGATACCCTCTGGTAAACTAACATAGCTATGGAAAATCACCATTCTTAATGGGAAAATCCACGATAAATGGTCATTTTCAATAGCTATTTTGACATAACCAGAGGGTATCTCCACCGTAAATCCTCCAGTCGCCAGGTCGCCAGTTTCAGCTCCGCGTAAAGCATCGCTGTCAGCCCCATGGCCACCATCAATACCCGTGCCAGCAGGTTGGGCGCCACAGCGGCTTGCAGGGCAGTGGTGGCGCCGGGCTCCTTGGGAAAGTGGGGATGAAAAGTGAAAAATGATGGGAAATCAATGGGAAATCAATGGGAAATCAATGGGAAATCAATGGGAAATCAATGGGAAATCAATGGGAAATGAATGGGAAATCAATGGGAAATCAATGGGAAATCAATGGGAAATCAATGGGAAATCAATGGGAATCTGTGAAGTCCAAGGAAATTCTGGGAGGTGAAGCAACACAAATTGGTTTCTTTGTGCTGCAAAAATGAAGCAAAATGATGCCATATAATATTATGTTATAAATATAATGTCCAACGAATATGATGGAAGAAAGATTGTTGAAAATGATTGGTCATCAACAAGGAAAACATGAACCATCGACTCTTGCCCACATGCAGCTCATGCAGATTGGTCTTTGCCAACCACATTCGGGATTGGAAAACCCACCGGAAAAGCAGCCGCTTTGGGCAGGAGTCCTCTTGATCACCGTACTTGTGGCCCTCATCGGCCTACTCGTTAATCTTCAAAGCTTTGCCAAAACTAGTTCCTATCTATAAAATGATAATGTATGTCTGGTACCGAACAATGCTAAATTGCTTCGAATGTTTCAAAAGCTTGTATATCTCTCTCACGGGGAAAACAATGAGTTTCTAAAGCCCTTCCTGACCCGTCTGTCCCATCCAGTCATCCTCCACCTCATCCTCATCCTCATCCTCATCCTCATCCTCATCATCATCATCATCATCACCATCACGAACACCATCACGAACACCATCATCATCATCATCATCAGCAGCAGCAGCAGCATCAGCAGCAGCATCTTCCCACCAGTTCCTTCCCCCCTGCGCCGGGACAAGCGTCAAAAATCAAGGCCAAGAGCATCGAGATAGCGCCCGTTATGGGAAGGGTCCTGGAAGCCATGGAAGCCCTTGGGGATCAGCATTTTTTTTCTGTTAGGAAAAAAAGAAATCAAGGAAGTACTGGATAATAATGTGATATTAGTGATAAATTATAATGTGATAAAGATCCCATTATTATCCCAGCTATTAGTGATAAATTATAAGCAATACCAATAATCTGTTAATAATGTGATAAATAATATAGTCATGGGACAATAATGGGACAATGATGGATAAAAATGGGATACTAATGGGATAATAATGGATAAAAATGGGATAATAATGGATAAAAATGGGATAATAATGGATAAAAATTGATAATAATCGGTTACCCCAGGGTAAATCTTGACAGAAAGATGTGGAAAACTGATGGTTTCCCGTTCGCAAGATGATCTAGAAATGGTGGGTGTGCCTGTGTGCCACATCTTTTGTATGTTTACAGGAGGGGAACCTATCAAATACCAATCTTGCCAGTTGGCAAGTGATGGTGCTTTTTTCTATTGGTGGATGCCTGATCATTTATCATCACCTATTTCTTGGTTTGATGGGGGTTAGCCGGTTAGCCCCTTTGTGATTTTTTTCAGCCAGCACTAAAAGCTCTCAATTTCCATCATGGTTCTCCATACAACTCCTGTAGGAAAGATTTGAGAAAGCCAAGTTCTGGGTGGCGTGTGGGAAGTTTCTGGGACGTCGGGTCCCATCATTGAGGGAATGCCCCCAGACTTTGACAAACCATCTTATCAATGGCCATTGGCGGCCATTTCAGGATCCTAGATTGGAGGTACCTACCATATATAAGGGAATATCCCCACCAAAATATGGTCTTATCTATCAATTGATCTTATCTATCTTGGTTCGACATCTATCAATTGCACATGTTCCCACAGATCCCCTGCATTCAAACTCAACCTTGGTTTTCAAATACTCCGTCCTACTGGATCCTGAAGGGTCAGTACAGTTTCATGGTCAAACTATTCATGTAGATAAAGGTTGCAGTGGGGAAATATGGCATCAGCTTTCAAGTTTAATAGCACTTCTACACAATATTTAGGGCTGGCTCAAACACCTATTACACCAAATTTTGAAGGATGCACATCCACCAGCTAATTGGGTGTCACAAGGCTACCAGGCTTTTGACTCATAACCATTTGATTTAGCTGCAGTTTGTTATGGTATACCCTATGGTAAACTGACAATTCGCTATTGAACATGACCAATTTTAGAAATCGTTCATTTCCCCATCAAAAATGGTGATTTGCCAAAGTTTTTTTGTATGAGGGTAAACCCCTATGAAGCATAGAAATGTGATATATCTACCATTAATCCTAAATATATGATCTTATATATATACATATATTATCCCAACCATTACCCCAACCACCCCAACCAGGCCTTGCCAGAAGTTGCAGCTTGCTGGTGCCTCGTAAAGCCGAACCCCTTGGACTCTGCAAGACGACTTGCGCCATGGCTCAACGTTGCGCGCTCAACAGCCTGAGACGGGGAAAAGGGTAAAAAACCAACCAAGGAGTGGGAGATCATATGGGATACTGGTCAACTATATGGGATATAATGAGATATACAGTGATATGTATGTATGTATGTATGTATGTATGTATGTATGCATGTATGTATGCATGTATCTATCTATCTATGTATGTAATGTAATGTAATGTAATGTAACGTAACGTAACGTAACTTTATGTTATGTTATGTATGTATGTGTGTGTATGTATCTATCTATCTATCTATCTATCTATCTATGTATGTATGTATGTATGCATGTATGCATGTATGTAATGTATGTAATGTATTTAATGTATGTAATGTATTTAATGTATGTAATGTATGTAATGTATGTAATGTATTCAATGTATGCAATGTATGTAATGTAATGTAATGTAATGTAACGTAACGTAATGTAATGTAATGTAATGTATGTAATGTAATGTAATGTAATGTAATGTAATGTAATGTAATGTAATGTAATGTATGTAATGTAATGTAATGCAATGCAATGCAATGCAATGCAATGCAATGCAATGTAATGCAATGTAATGTAATGTATGTATGCATGCATGCATGCATGTATGTATGTATGACTGTATGTATGTAAGTAAGTAAGTAATGTATTGTATGTAATATATTGTGTGTAATGTATTGTATGTAATGTATTGTATGTAATGTATTGTATGTAATGTATTGTATGTAATGTATTGTATGCAATGTATTGTATGGAATGTATTCAATGTAATGTATTCAATGTAATGTATTGAATTGTATTGTATGTAATGTATTGTATGTAATGTGTTGTAATGTTATGTTATGTTAGGTTATGTTATGTCAGGTTATGTTACATTACGTTATGTTATGTTCTGTTATGTTCTGTTATGGTATGTATGGATGTATGGATGTATGGATGTATGGATGTATGGTTGTATGGATGTATGACTGTATGACTGTATGACTGTATGACTGTATGTATGTGTGTATGTATGTATGTATGTATGTATGCATTGCATTGCATTGCTATTGCATTGCATATTGCATCTATTGCATCATCTATTGCATCTATTGCATGATCTATTGCATCTATTGCATCTTGCATCTATTGCATCTATTGCATCTATTGCATCTATTGCATCTATTGCATCTATTGCATCTATTGCATCTATTGCATCTATTGCATCTATTGCATCTATTGCATCTATTGCATCTATTGCATCTATTGCATCTATTGCATCTATTGCATCTATTGCATGTATTGCACGTATTGCGTGTATTGCATGTAATGTAATGTAATGTCATGTCATGTCATGTAATGTAATGTAATGTATATATATATATATGTATGTATATGTATGTATATATATATGTATATGTATGTATATGTACGTGTATGTGTATATATATATATACATATGTGTGTGTGTGTGTGGAGCATTTGCACAGGTATATGTATTATGTATATGTACGTGTGTGTGTATATATATGTGTGTGTGGAGCATTTGCACAGGTATATGTATACAGTATGTGTGTATATGTATGTGCAAAGGCTTGTTTTTCAGCGCATGAGACCAAGTGTCTGCAACAAAATCAGCCTCGGGCAAAAATGCATGTTTTTTATGGGCTGAAAATCAGCCACGAACGGGGCTATATACGTGTGTATATACATACAATGGGGATGTAATTTTGATAGAAAATGCAATTGATGATTATAACCATTTTACTTGGATATGTAACTATATATCATGTAATGGAACTATACATATATACTCAAATACAGAGATGGTGTAATGGAATATGACCATATCATATGATATGCCAAAAATGGGGGATTCCCCTTTGGTGCTTTGAGGGAAAGCCCTATTGGTGTTGTGACTCATGATACTATTGATGTTGAGTTTTATGATGATACGACAAGAATGTTGATCATGATAAGAATGATAAGATTGTTGACAAGTGGTGATGTGAGGTATCAAGGCACCCATGCGCGCATGTGCACGCATACGTTAGCAGCTCGTTAGCATCACTGACCTTGTCATTGGAATCTAGGGACTGTCCTATGAAAGCATCCTTCACCCGGAAATAGGTCTTAACCCCCAAATCAAGCAATGGAGGTCCATCCCCTCTCCTCTAAAAGGGAATCATGTTGTCAGTTGTCAGTTGATCATATGATCACCACGTCCATTGCCACTGAGAGACATCGAGGTGAGTTGTATCAAGATGCCAAACCAATTGTCCCCTGGCGAAAAAAAAAACTGCTGAAGATTGCGGTTCACCAAAGTTGCGGTTCAAAAAAATGTGGGTGAACGCATCAAAAGTTGATCTTGGCCCCCAACAAAAAGCCATCTTGGCTCCTTGGCAAGCCAACCATCGGGCCTGGGAGATGAGGATCTTCACATTGCGCAAGACCTCCCAAAATCCTCAGCTGGGTGGCCATGGTACCCCAAGATCCACTAATCGCTAGTCGCATATCTAAATGCATCATGTGCCCATGGAACCCCATGATAATTCGGTGGCCAATCATGTACAATTCATTCCATCATACGTATATATATATATATATATTATATATATATATGATATATATATATATATGATATATATATATATTATATATATATTATATATATATATTATATATATGTATATTATATATATATGATGTATGTATACACATATGTACACTCACCAATGTTTGATGGCCGCACATTGGAACTAAAAACACCAGAAGACCAGCAATCCCAGGGCGTTTCGTCCGCGTCACATCAGCGCCGAACTGCAGAGTCGCAACAGACCCAGACGTTCCAAGCCCCAAAGCCTGGTGTTCGACCCAGGACTCGACTGATGGAGAAACCATGGGAATTTACCAAGAAAAAAAGGGAGGAACTTTGGGTAAATTCCCATGGTTTGGAATAGAAACTATACTATACTATTGGCAACCCTATTGGTAAATTTTGCTATACTATTCTTTTCGTACCCTTCCTGTATAGTCAATCTTTCCGAACATTTTACGGAACCCCTATCTTTTGTGAATGTTGTTTAAAGATAAAGTTGTATGGGAATTACGGTTGATAAGATGGCTGCCATAAATTACTTTACATTTTGTGAAACATCAATTTGGCTTAATGTAACATAATTTATGGTACAATAAAATCCCACCAAATTTCAGGAAATGATTTGATTTGTCAATCTTTTTTGAAGTGATATACTCGCAAGAATCTTGACTCTGGCGATTGGACCAATTACAAAACATTTACCAAAAGGAACAAATCCTGAAAGAAAGCCCATGAGTTTACAGGAAAGATGTAAGACTTACTATCCAAAAAAAAACACTGCTACCCAAAGCGGCGACCCGGAACAGCGCAAGCGTGGCAACCCGGTTTCGCAGCGCCTGGCTGTGCACATCATGAACAGCACGCCCATGGAACTGATCATGGTACGCCCAGCCACAGATAGATACCTGCAGGGTGACCAGGGTGCAGCTTCAAGGGTCTGATTTGTCGATTGAAAAAAAAAACAGAACTGGATGCTTCCCTGAACTCAAGATATAACAAAAATCCAAAAACTGAATGAAAAATATAGAAACATATCCCATATCATCGAAGAAAATCCAAAATCCAGATGTTTGGTGTGGACTGGTGTGGGTCTCTCAAACTGACCCCACGAAACCACCAAGTCACTCGAGGGCTTTGTTGGTCAAGCCAATCTCGAAGCCCTGCACCGTTCCAATGAAGACCTGCACATGGAACAGCAACCTGAAGGGACCTGGTCGCCTTCCAGTCACATGGCAATGGGAAATCTTGCTTAACTGTTGGGTTTATGGAGGATAACACGAACTAGTTCATAACCCAGCCTTCCCATGTAAATTGGGATTTTGAAGTAAGTAATGGAGAAAAAAACACCCCCTCAAAAAAGGAAAAAAAAAAACAGCAAGAGCAGTGCCTGCAGACTGTGTATGTTTGGTGTCAGTCAAGATTCAAGACCCCGTGTTCACAAGAGCTGTTCCCGCTAGCATCGTTCATGGCATCGTCATCCAAGTCACATCCTTTTCCCCATCTCACTGGTGTTTAGTAGGGAATGGATGGGAATGGGTGTTGCTGGGATTTTTATTACTAGTGATGACTGGGATCATTCCCTCATGCCCTACTTACTAAGCACCAGGAAAAAGTATATCTGGCTTTGTCTGAAAATAGCGGTGACCCATGGTGACCCTAAAGCCATGGTTTACCCTTTGGTAAACTAAAATAACTCTGGAAAGATCCACCATTTTTAATGGGAAAATCCACTATAAATGGCCATTTTCAATAGCTATTTTGACATAACCAGAGGGTATGATGTTCCTTATCAAAATGGCCATCCGATCGTCACGCGCACCACGTACATCATCTCGTGGGACTGCAAGGGTGGCGGCGCGGCCCGTTTCGCATGGACCTGATGCCACTGGTGGAGGTCACAGAATGGGGACTTCGCCAAGAAAGGGATGGAACTGATGAAACCGACCATCTCACGGTGACATCATGAGATATTCTACATATACATATACATATATATATGTACATATATATATATATATTATATATATTATATTAAACGAACAACATGATTCTTGGGCACCCTCCCGTACTGTAATCAAACATGGCTCACTTTGAAATCCCCCAAGGGTTATGAAAGATCCCCAGCGGCGATCACTGATGGATACCTAGGGGTTGATCTCCCCATCTCCTTTCCCCATCAGTTAAAGTGGCCATCACTCACCTGGCCAACGTCACATGCCCAAGGCGCCATCTTCGCCAGGAGAAATGCACAGACCGCTGTGGTGGGCTGAACCATGGCCGTTAAGGCAAAAGGGAAGGGGAAGAGAAACGACACAACCTGCGGGAAATCGATCGTGCCTTGGAACATGAACCATGGGTCAACGATGAAGAAGCCCCTCAGCTGTCTAACTCGGAGGTTATATCTCAGTAGTCCATCATCGTTTTTAGGGCTAACATCCCACATGAACGGGAACCACGGTTTCTTCAATTGGGATGGATGAAAGATTTTTTGATGTTTGGGCACATAGCAACCGGATGCACCCTCCACATCCGGTGTCATCCAGTGCCTCCTTGATCTGTAGGATCACCAAGATGGCAGAGCACCACCACATTGAGGTGAAGATGAAGACCTGAGCTCCAAAAGTGATTGGTTTTGTACTGGTTAAAAGCCCTTAATGGGGAAGAGGGAAGATCCCTCTTAAAAATCAAACATCTTAGGTGTTTCCTGGCAGTCCTGGCAGCCTTTGAAACTCAAAGTCCTGTTTTTGTAGTTCCTTGACTCCACCACAAAATCATTGACAGTTAAGGATTGGATAGGTAATCATGGTTTATTCATGGTTTATATCATGTTATAGCCCGCAAATATCCCAACTCATGAGCTAATTACCATGGTTCATCATGTGTAAACATATATATATTATCATAAATCCTAACCAACAACCATCGTCAACCATCATGAACCAACCAATAACCAAGTTCATAACATCCCATTCTTAACCACTATTCACCAATTCTGAACCATTTAGGATTTTATTACTCTCTGGTAATTTAACATAGCTATGGAAAATTCCATTTATAGTGAGTTTTCCCATTAAAAATGGTGGATCTTTCCATAGTTTTTTGTATGTTTACCAAAGGTTCACCAACCATAACCCCAGCTGCCCTTGGAGACCCCGGGCCCCAGGGTGACCGGGTGACCTGAGCAGCTCTGCTCGCCAGCCGCTGCGCTGCCGCTCGCTCCAGCTCCGTGGAATCTCTGGGCGACGTCGATTCCTCCGTGGAGTCGTCTGAGATCCTCAGGGCCGCCGCTGGCCGCGCAGGGGGCCGTGGTCAAGAAACATATGTATAAACCCATTAGAAAACTATGTAACATGATGGAAGTATGGTAAAGTTTTGCTTGAAAATCCCAGATATTAGTTGGTTTATAAACCCAGTTCTTGTTGCTTATATAAGTGTTATAAGTTATTTATATACATATAAACCCAATTGTGAATAGTTATGTTGGTTTAAAACCTCATTGACTAGTTCATTGATCCCCCTAATCAACCGAAACATTAACCAAGCTATGTGCGTCAACTTGGCTATCGTTTGGGGGCCCGCACCTTGCATGCAACTGGTAATAAGACATGATGTAGACATAATGGGGATATACAATGGGACATGGATTGGTCCAAGTCAAGGGATACCACAATTTATATATAGTCTGCATGGGAAAAATATTGAAAGAATATCACTATCAACCATCGGCCTTTAGGTATACTCCATTTTTGGACAGAACCGCCTAGTTTATCTGAAACCATCCATTTTGCGGGCTGATAATTTTAAGCCACAACCACATAAATATCGCAACCCCGAAAAATGCATAGAATAAGGCGGAATCATCCTATCTCATCATGGGGTAAAGCAAAAATTGGTCTGTCGGTGTGGAGGCTTCCGGAAAAATGTACAGTAAAAGACTCCGAAAAACCCACAGCTGTGCCTCATGTGTGTATCAGACCCTCCATTTCCTGCTGTTTTCACCCCCAACTTCCCTTCAGCCTGCCCAGCCGGCCCAGCTTTGCTGCCAGGGATCAATCTCAAGTATCCTGGCCATGGGGGGGAATCCCTGCACCTGGTTTTCCCGCCCACATAAGAAATGGGTGAACCTCATTAAACACCCTTAAAAACATCGGATGGTTTCAGGTCCTGAACCTGACTTTAAAAAATGTCTGGGCCCCAGATTTTTCTAGCCCCCCACTGTTCGACCCCTTGACAGCTTGGGGGTCCTCCAGGACTCGGATAGGGCTGGATCTTCCTGGGCGACAACCCCTCGATGCTCTGCATCGCCGCGTCCCAGGTCCGCTTCAGCATGGCGCGACGTGACAGCGCGCCGGGACGGGACGCGACGGGACTGTGGGGCGGGTGTGGAATGTGTGGATCAACGGCTGCCGTGGTTGAAAGGAGTTTTGTGCGAGCCAGAAATCCTGGAACCACGAAACATGGAATGATGGGAATGTTTGTTGACTTTTGGTGTAAATGATCACAAGAGATCATAGAATCGTGGTGGCTTTGGGCTGTTCGACACTGATATAAGCACCAGAAAGTAGTAAGCGTGAAAAAAAAATAAAGGTTGTGTTTCCTCATTCCCCTCACAGGTTCATTGCTGTTCTTCGACTCTTCAAATGCATTCCATATGCTCGTCTGGCAGTGCCAGTCGACTACGCAGCTTGAACAATGTCTGCAGGAACTTCAACTGGGCAGCAAGATGCCTCGGGGGTCCGTGAAATCCATACATGTCTTTTCTCTCCCGGTATAAAGCGGTGGTACCAAAATCAACCAATAAGGCTAACAAAATAATTTTATGATCCCACAATATCTTGTCAAATGTAAGACTACACATTATGTCAGAGAGTCAAAATTTCAAATATCTGGTCTCCTGATGTGGGTATCGGAACCAATTTTCGTGTCACGCCAAATCAACACGCGCAGTTCGTCAAAGGTCCTCGTAGATCGCCGTGCTGACCTCACCTACACGTCGGTAGTGCTGCTCGGGACCCGGTTTTCCTCGGTAGGGGAGGGTCTTTAACCGCACGCGCATCGGAAAAGCACCACAAAATCATGTCTGACTTTTCGGACTTGTCCAGAAATCATCAGCAATCAAAAAAAATGTGTTCTGCAAAAAACTCGACAGCAACTCGCCCCAGATACCCTCTGGTAATTTAACATAGCTATTGAAAATGGCCATTTATAGTGAGTTTTCCCATCAAAAATGGTGCTTTTCCATAGCTACGTTAAATTACCAGAGGGTATCACCAGGTCAAAATCTCATCATCTCCCCGCGCTGTGCCGCGGATAAACCGCCGAGACGCCGTTGCAGAGGCACGCCACGCTGAGCTGGTGCTGCGGATCCGCGAAGGCCCAGGAACTTTGCCTCGGCAGAATCCCCAATGCTTACCACCAGTAGCTATGGAAAATGTCCCATTTATAGATTATTTATAGGTGATTTACCTATAAGAAATGGTGTTTTTTTCCATAGCTATGTTAAATTACCAAAGGGTAATAGTATAGATCTAAGCTTCAGGGCAACTTTGTCCCTACCTTGATGGACTATGACTCTGACCCCTTTTTTCTGGGAAAGGGCAGACAAAAAGAACATGGTGAACTATATAAAAAGTTTCTGGTTGGTGGTGCAATAACCATCTTGAAAAATATGAAAGTCAACGGGCAGGATGATCCCATATATGAAATGGAAAATAAACCAAATGTTTGAAACCACCAACCAGTAATGGAATCAAATGGATCAGTGCATAACAATAGATTGCGATAACAACTCCAAGAACATGGAAAATTAAAAGTGTAAAAGATAGTCCTAGAAAATAATCATGGAATTTAATGGAATCTGAATAGATCTTATATAATGGAGTCCAATAGACTTTAAGTTGAACGATTGAATAAAATTAAAAAAACAAATTGACTCAATGCGCAAGTTGGACAAAAGTATACTGGAGTCAAGAATCGACTCCAGTTGAATGAAAGTCCAATGAAGTCAAACAGACTTATAAGTTGAATATGACAGCAAAATAGAAAAAAAAAATGCATGCGGTCAGCCAAGGTTCGAGCCCCCATGGCCATATGCCTTGTCTGAGGCATGGCGCCCTGCAGGAAAAAGACTGTGTTGCTTCAATCATGAACGAAGTCTACAGTAGAATCTTAGTGCATTCTAATTTTTTTTTAAACATTTACTATACCTTATTACTACCATTTAATACCTACATCTAGAATAACCATATGAGATCAAAAAAAAGGGCAAAATCCCCAACCAGTCGCTCCAATTTCGGAGCAAAACCCTCGCCTGAGAGAATGCAGTTCACTGCAAAGCCCAAGGACCAGTCTGTGTCAACCCCCTGCAGCTCGTCAAACAGACCTCCCAAGCGAAGCATCGCTGGAGATGGGTGAAAATTCCCATGGTGGAAACCTCATGTTTGGAATGTGTGGTAAGGGTATCAATACTAAGTGTCACAATGAAATGTGGACAAATACGAAGTTTACCAAGAAATGTGGATCGTGTTGGGGAAAATTCGTATACTAAGCCAAAAAAAGAAGAGTGCGTTGAGTGCGTTGTCCTATGTTTGACCCAGGTCCATCTCGACAACAGAACCTGGTAAAATCCTACATGGGTATTGGTGCCAAATATGGATTTTACCCACAGACAAATGTTGGCCCACAGGGCCCACAGACCCTTGGTATGAAATTTCTGCATGTTTTCCCACGGATTCCCTTTGAAAAATGGTGAAGATACCCCCGATTTGTCGCCAGTATTGTGGGTATTTTCATCATGTTCCCATGAAGTCACCACTAAATCACATGAAATTCATTGAAATTCTTGTACACCATGAACTTCCCATCAGAAATCACACCATGAAGTCACCATTTCTATTTCAACTGGGATTCCCTATCAGATCAGGGGAGAAACCATCAACTGCTGCAGGATTTCGCACCTCGCCGCGCCACGGCCGTCAGCTGCTCCACCGTCTCCGGCCGCAGCAGCCGCGCTGTGGCGTTGTCCGCGGACGCCGCGACCGGCAGAAGCGAGGCGTAAATGGCGCAGAGCTCCTGCGACACCCAAAATGTCGAGATGCTCGGGAAAGGATGGAAAAAAATTGGGATTTAATCATCCAAAAAATGGAAAATCATCCAAAAATGGTGAAAAAAATGAAAATCATCCAAAAATTATGAAAAAATGATGAAGAATGGTGATCTAAGATGGTTTCACCATCCAAAAATGATGAAAACATGTGTTTTAACATGTGATTTAACAGGACTTAACCAACAAACTTGTTTTTAGAAAAACGAAAGCGATGTGTGACATCATTTAACTGACAAAAATGATGAAAGATTGGTATTCAACCACCAAAAGCGGGCTTCTACCACCAAAAGCGGGGTTTCAATGGATTGGTTTTCACTTCAAAATCGATCAGGAGTTCCTGTTAAGTTTCCCATCATCCAATTCTGGGAAATTGTCGTATCTATATTATCTACTATCTATATATGGTAATGGTATATCAATCAGTCCAATCAACCTGTCTCAAAGGTGTTGTTAGGTGGCTACAACAGATACTTTTGTATGTATATACATGTATATATATATATACATATGACACAATTATGCCGTATGGGTTATACCTTTCACATGTTTGTTGATCTTCCTCCTCTTCAATTTGCATCTTTCTCTAAGCTTATTCCGGCTTCAAACCCTATGAACATCCGGAAAAAAAAAGTAATGGTCTATCTATCTATCTATCTATCTATCTACCTAACTCACTAACTAAGTCCGCTCTGGTAAACTAACATAACTATGGAAAATCACCATTTTTACTAGGTAAATCAACCATAAATGACCATTTTCAATAGCTATATTAGTTTACTAGAGGGTACATAAGTGACCAACCAACCAACCAACCAACCAATCCAGTCCTTGGCAGGTCCACGGCCATTGCCGGCAGGACAGGGATAGTTGACCCTCTGTGGCTTGGACTCCTGGCTTTGTCTATGGAATCACGCGGAAAATGCTGGATATACCATGAGGCTTCCATAATATGTCTATGATATACGATCAAAAATTTGGTTTTACTAGAAACTCGAGAGAATGAGGATATAGTGGGATATCACTATATCACCAACAATCTGACAATATCATGGGTCCAAAAACGGTGTGTATTCCCCCAACATGGCAGCGTTCATGGGAACTTTGATGATACGCCATCGGACTTTGGGGGTATCCTATTTTCAGACAAAGTTATTTGAGTCCCAATGGAATCACATAGTGATGTCTTTTTTGTGTTCAATCCGTCGTCTAAATATGATGAGAATACAATTGTTGGTCAGAACTCAGACCAACAACTCATGGCTTACCGTAGCTATGGAAAATGTCCCATCTATAGATTATTTAAATTATTTACCTATCACAAATGGTGTTTTTTCCATAGCTATGTTAAGTTACCAAAGGGCAATAGTATAGATCCAAGCTTCAGGGCAACTTTGTCCCTACCTTGATGGACTATGACTCTGACCCGTTTTTCTGGGGAAGAGCAGACCAGAACATGGTGAACTATATAAAATATTAGTTCACCATTCTTGTTAGCCACATACCAACTGGGTCCTGCACCCTTGGGGTTTGCTGTCTACCAGGATGTCAAATCCTCATGGAGAGCGCTCCTCTGGAAGGATGTTCCATGGTTTTTTGGTGCGGAGGTACAAAGGCGCCTTACCAAACATGGCGCGGCATGGTTTTTCAACTGGTTCCACAGTGGCATTTCTTGCATGGTATGGTTGAGGTTGTTCACCAGAAACGTCAGCACCTGCTCAGACTGCCATGGCAGACTGCTGCCAGGTTGCAATAAGACCTGGCCAAGCTGCATGAGGGATGAATTGTCCAAACATCTGAAGAAAGCCAAGTTGCTGATTTGGGGTGCCCCAGTGTTTTTACTGGAAATCAACGGTTTAACGGTTCAACGTTTTTCCCCTTCCTTGAACGAAGCCAAGTATATAAATAGGTTCACACGAACATGTACAAACCTGACAGCACCGGTGCAAGGTCACAGCTGAATATGCCAACATGTAAAGCATATGCCATGGCGAGAGACAACTAAGCGAAAACATTTGGGTCTTGAAATAAATAGGCTACTGTACCCCAGAATGAGATGGTTTGACACACATTATCCCTGCTAAAGCTACGATTTTTGGGGGGTAGACTCTAGCCTTCCTAGTCTTCCGACACCCGCAGGTCGGCTAACCTTGACGCAGCGCTCTCTTCTCTCATCTTCTATAGAGAATGTATGAGAATGTGAGGTTGAGTGAACACGAATGTGAAGTTGAGTGAATGTGGGTTGACTGTAAAGGACGTGAGGTAAACTTCTTTTGAGGGTTCGGCACAGTATAATCCCCATACCATTGTACTTATCCATACTTATCCCTAAAATCCAACTGCCAGCCATCCACCATGGGTCAACTGGATGCAGGCCTGCTTCCTCCAATTTGGCGCGCCGCGCTGGACTGAAGCCTGGGGTTCTGAAATGGGCCCAAGAAACACCAAAGATTACCACAATGATAATGCGTGTTGGCACATGTTGGACCGTGACTTCGCAAATACGATGTTTCGGTTGGCTTCTAGAAATCGAAAAACTATCAGTCAGTCAGCCCTTGCTGAACACATCAAGAAATCCAGAAACAAGTGTGTAGCCCTGGCAGGGCCCCTTCCCAGCCTATGGAACAATTCTCCAACCCCAGGGGAGCGAAGATCTCCTCCTCCACGTAGTCGGGATAGCTGCGACCCCTAGGGTCAGCGGCAGTCACCACACCAGCCAGAACCTGACAGAGAAGTAGGGGCGGTAGGGGGTGGAAAGTAACACATCTACAATCAGCGAGGAAATACCACGATAATATCAATGGATTGGTTTAAGGGAAAATTTACAGGAAAACCCCATATTTACTGGGAAAATCGATGGTTTCCTGTAGATTTTCCCTTAAACCAATCCATTGATAATATTCAAAAATTATTGAATAAATAAAGCTTCAGGTCCGATCGAATCTTCGGGTCCCAAAGCCTGATAGCATAATATTCATGGAGCAGGTAAAACAAACAACCGTGCAAACTTTCCTGACGGTTGAGTAAGGACACCTTGCTGAGGGTGAATTGTAAAACAAACAAAAAGACGCTCTCAAAGAAACACTGTATCCTTGCTAGATGGCTGCTTGAACGCAATTGACACTGTGGAATCTTGTGTTTCTAAATTCATATACTGACCAAAATGTGTATGTATATATATATATATACATCTATGATACATATAATATATTCATAGTAATAGATTGAATCTATGACTGCCATCCTCGTCTAAATCCCAGTTCTTAACATGGTGAAATCCCCTCTCTTTCTCCCAGCAGCATACCATGCTGGACTGTCGTAGCCGCAGCGCTTGCCCGGCTGCCAGCCATCCACCAACGGTTGCTGGCACACATGCCGCAACACCTGGCAAGGAAGACTTTGGGGAAGACTTGGGGACTTGGGGGGACTTAGGGGAAAGTTGGGTGGATCTTGCAAACAGTTGAACACCTGTACCTATCGAATGCACATATGCAACACTTCACTGTTGAAGTCGCAAAGTACCTGCACAGGCATAAGCGAACCAAACGCGCAGGCAGAAAAACCTTGTATTCAACTAGCATAGATGTGTATCGAAAAAATAAAAAGATATGGAAAACCCATGGTTTTCCCAGGAAACCATCGTCTATAAGTGGTGGATTCTTCATGTCTATAGTACTCTGGTGGTTTAACGACCTAGAATGAGGATTCAACAATAATGATTTAAACGACCTAGAATGTGGATTTACCCATGTTTCACACACCAAAACTAGGGTGGGGATGGGCCTGTACAATTCTCAATGAAGGAATGAACAGCTATTTGCAAATTCTTTGGGTGTTCACCAGGATGTCAAAGTTTGGCCCATACCCAGTGCACCACCCTGGCATAAGGTGATTTGTTGCCAGCAACGCCAAATCCACGGTCCCAGAATGGTTCAAGTGGCCAGCTAGTAACTTGACATCTTTGTAACTACACAGGACTGGGGTTCAATGGGGGTTCATTGGTTATACCTCCAACTTAGGGCCCTTGTTGCAAGGGACTTGGGCAACCTAGGCGCAGCAAACATATGGGGATGCCAAGGCGCCCACGGTCTGACCTGGAGCCTTCCCATCCATTGAGCCATTCGAAATACCTCTCATGAAATAGTCGTTGGTTGATAGGTTTCCATATGGGTGATCACCCCCAAGAAATTAACTGTGGGTAAAACAATAATAACAACCATCCCAACAAATCACCATAAATAGGTGGGGTATAAACCATTCCCAGTCATGGGTGGTATATGGCATTGTTTTTTCCATATTCAGTCCCAAGAAATTCACGCATCAACCAGGGCACCTCTTCACAGCTGGCATCCTCCCGCAACTTTGACCCATCGAACATCGAGGCCCATAGGCCAGCAGTATGTGTGAGGCAATGTCCTGAGCAGCTCGGCGCAGTTGGGTTGGTGGAGCCCGGTCCAATAATTCAACGAATCATTCATTCATATCATATCATATCATTTCATATCATATCATATCATATCTACCTATTTATCTACCTATCTACTTATCTACCTATCTACCTATCTAACTATCCACCTATCTACCTATCTACCTGTCTGTCTGTCTGTCTGTCCGTCTGTCTACCTATCTACCTGTCTGTCTGTCTGTCTACCTATCTACCTTTCTACCTATCTACCCATCTACCTATCTACCTATCTACCTGTCTATCTATCTATCTATCTATCTTGTACAAGATCTCCGTAAGAGGTATCCTGGCAAGATCTCTGTACAAGATGTCTATAAGAGATCTCTTGGCAAGACTCTTGAAGAGAACTCTGTATAAGATATCTCCACAGATGATCTCTGTGAGGGATCTCAAAGTAAGATCTCTGTTCAAGCTCTCTATAGAAGATCTCTGAGCAAGACCTCTGCTCTCTTCGCCAGGTCTCTGTACAAGAATGTACAAGATCTCCGTAAGAGGTATCCTGGCAAGATCTCTGTACAAGCTCCCTTCCAGAGGTCCCGTCCATTTGGACTATTGTTCATGCCTTGTCCGTTGATCTAGGGATTTGCAGGGGCCGTCACACCCCATCTTTGCAGCTTTGCGTCCCCCGTGTGTTTGTGCGTCAAAGCTATGGACCCTAAACCAAAGATCAATGAGTATCGATGGTACCCCGCAGAATCAGTAGTAAAACCTTGCCCCACAGATTGAATAGTAAAAATATGCAACATCCCCCATGGTTGAGTGAAGAGAATATAATATAAATCACCAATCTTATGGGCAATTGCGAGGTGGGCCCTCCCAGTTACAGTATATGTGGTTTGTAAACCCCATGAACACTGGTTCTTTATATCTACCATAAACCCAACACTTAACCAAGTTATGTTCACCAACTTAGCTACATTGACTATAGTTACATCCACCCGTAGACCCGCGTTAACCAAGTGAACTAAACCAACTTATATAGCTAAGTGGGGGTCCGTCGTACAATTCGCCAGCTATCTGTGGGTCCCAGTGGCTCAGAGTCACGGAAGCTTTCCCTGCAGCAGCAAAGCTCGGCAGGAATTTGCTCACGGGGTCGTCAAAGTCCACAAGACCTTTCTCCTAGGGACTGAATGGGGATACGCGTCACTCATATATTGTCTGGATGAATGGGGATCTATTTCTGTTTTACCCTCTGGTAATTTAACATAGCTATTGAACATGACCATTTATAGTGAGTTTTCCCAATAAAAATGACCATTTTCAATAGCTATGTTAAATTACCAGAGGGTAAGCTCAATGGATTGATTGAAGGGACAATCCACCGGAAACCATGGTTTATTTTCCCTGAATTTTTTATGGGTGTCCTGCAAATTGTCCCATCCAAATTCTGCAAGAATAGTCTGGCCCCTGGGGAGACCGGAAGAAGGATAAATAATTAGAAAACTGCAGCAGGTCCAGTCCAAAGAATCATCTAGAAATCGAACTGGAGTGGCCTTTTGAGGAGACACTCCCTCATTGAAAGGCTTTCCAAACCCTCAATTTGGCAATGGATCTAATCACCCCTAAAAATTGGTGTGCCATGCCCAACTTAGGTAGGTCGATGGTCTTGATGGACCTACACATTGGCATGGTGTTGTTTGAAACCATCCGATATTCCATGTAGGTCTTGTTTATATGTGCATATACCTGGCACATACATATACTAAGACGAACACTGTGTATACATATACACATGTGTATGTCTATATATATATATTTAGATAGGTGTGCGTATTGTGTATATCGTTTACACACCTTGTATATCTATATTTAATTACAGACACATCCATAACTTTCACCTTCCCCTGTTTTTTTCCGGTCCTGCAGCTGACCCAAGGCAATAGACATCAAAGGCTTCACGGAGGAACTCCAGCACAAGACGTGGTCCGAAGTCATGGCCTTGCCATCTGCCACCTCGAAGGCGATCCAATGGGAGATGGATTGGTTTTGGGATTTTTTTGTACCGGAAACCATGGCTTTTTACCATCAACACACAGGGAGTTCCTGTAAATTCTCCCTTAACACCAATGCAATGATACAAGCAAAACGATGGATGGGACGTGTTTCCGCTGTTATTTGGACCCGTGATACAAGCACGAGGAACTTACTTGACAGTGCACATACCAGCCACTGCTCCTCGAGATTGCTGTTTATATCACACTTTCGTTGGATAAATTCATGTAGGCTAATATATACATCGATGTACAGTAACTATAAATTATACATGTGTATATACATCTTCTCATGAATATTTGGGTATGTCTCAAACTTGGGTCCATCCCATGGTCTCTCATCATCTCAATTTCTTCCCATGGCCACTTTCCCACACCTCTCCGACGGAGAAATGCACCATCTGGCCGTCATAACAGACTGCCAGCTGAGCTCCGTAGTGGAGTCCCTCCTGCACCAAGGCCCAAGGCGGCCAAGAGCTGGGACAAGAACAGCCAGGGAATTCATGGCTGTTTTTGGGGAAAAATCCACCATAAATGGATGTTTTTATGGGAAAATCCACTATAATTGGAGGTTTTGGTGGGAAAATCATCAAAATGGAGGTTTGAATGATCCGTCGGAATTCTGAAGGGCATTTGCTATGAGGGACTTGCCATCCAAAGGGAAAGCTCCAAAATGGGACAACTGACTAGGGGAATCCATCAGCGCCGAAGAGCGGCTCCAAAGAAATTCTATTCACCACCCTGGCATGATTCAAGATACGTGTGATGTTACAAAAAAAACAAACTGAAATGCTGATGATGCCTCCCCAAGGAATATCTATATATATATACATAGTCCCATTCCCTTACTTGAATTTTGCCTTTAAAAAAAATAGATGCACTTCCAATACATTCTACCAGGGTACGTAATATAAGGGCCAAGGGAACGTCAACCCAGTTTACTACTGCGGAGGGGTGCAAGAATAGTGATGATTGAACCTATAAATCGTACCCTGCGATGTGAATAAACCTGGTGTCTATACATCGCGGAACTCCCAAAATGATGCCCAAGTTGGCAGGAATCAACCCAAAGAATCATGGTAAATACAGTAATTTCCTATCACTTTTCCCATATTCCCATCATGATTTGGAGGCTGCCTTGGAGGCTTCCTAAACTGGGCGAATCATCGAAGTCATTCGACGATTTTGGTCTTGAAACCCCGCTGTGACTTGGGGATCGCCTCGACACCCCGCTGCAACTTCTGGCGAGCGCGTGGAAAGTCCATGGCCGAATCCATGGTAGCCATGGCAGTCGTGGTGGCTCCACGGGGTGGGGCTGGTGGAGTGGCTTCAAAGGCGAAAGCCCATCCATTTTGGATTGGGAAAGAATGACAAATATGGGGGAAATCATGGAAAACTATACCATGTTGATCATGAGTACATCTTAAATCTAGTTTCTGCAATGGATTGGTTCAAGGGAAAATGTGCAGGAAATGAAATTACGTTTCTCCCCAAGACCCTTTGAGATCTTGTTTTTTGTTCAATGTCTAGTCTTGTGCTACATGCAATTCGCCCACTAAAACACTTGGAATGGAAGTGGGAAATCCCACTAGGGGGCTTGGATCACCCGCAGATCCTGAAATATGTAGTATATAATAGTATAGAGTTTTGTGTGGTAGTGTTTCTATATGTTTCTATGTATTACTACATTTTGACTTACCAAAGATTCATCCAAAGGTCTGAGTAGATTATAATAGTTCACTCACCTGAATCTTGTGGCTATTTGGGGATGATTCCCCTTACCCTCTGGTAACCTAACATAGCTATGGAAAATCACCATTTCTAATGGGAAAATCCACTATAAATGGCCATTTTCAATAGCTATTTTGACATATCCAGAGGGTACAAACCATGATTCCAGGGCTCGGTCGATTCCCCGAGAGCTTCCAGCCCCCCGAGGTGCCGAACGACCCCAGGTGGGTCCATGCTGAGAGCGTTCCAGACGAACACCGGCAACCACCTGGAGCTCTGTCAGAGCACCAGAGCTCTCTGGAAATTGGGAATTGACCAACCAAAAACCGCCATTTTTTTGCCAATGTTGGGGAATATGATAGGAATATGATGTGTTTAATATGTGAAATGTTTGAAACTTGTTGAAACCATCGAATTCAGACAAAGCCCTGGGTGTAAAATGATGCTCACTTTGGGACCAAACATATGTTTGGCATCTTGTCCTTTTAAAAACAAACTGACCGGTAGTGCCATTTATCCACTACCCCCATGGTAAAATGATTCGATAATCGTTTTCTCTGAAGGGAAAAGATGGCAAAGAAAAATCGCTTCTGCAACTCTCTGAACATGTGTCTTGCTGCAAAACGAAAAGCATGTTAGCCAGATCAAGGGAAGCACAGTAGAGGACACATGGTTCTTTGCCGAAATTGGAGGTTTCCTAAGTCTTGGGGATACCCCCAGCATCCATTTTGAATGGAATTGTCCATTCTAAACCAACCAGCTATTGGATGCCATTGGATCCCCCATCGCCAGCTCAGGCCTGGCACTCTGCAGTGCTCAAACGCCGATGACCTCCGTTGATGTGGGTTGTCCCTCCAACAGGGACGTTGTTTCCCCAGTACTTTTGGCCCAACAAAAACAACGTTTGGGACGGATTCGTTGGAGAATCTGAGGGTCACCAGCAGCTGTGGAAAACATCATTAGCTTCAGGAACAAATCTGTTGGTCTCAGATGGGCAGAAGTAAAACCTGGCTACCCCCAAAACTTAAATGGTCTATATACTGTTTCTGAAATCACCAAAATCACCAAGACTCTGACTAAAATATACCAAAATGCCAAAACGTTGACCCTATCCGGGCACCAAAAATAGGAAACCTTCCTTCATAGCACCTGGATTCAGCCCAGCAGCAAGGGTCATCGTTTTGGCCCAGCACCCAACTAGGCATCCGCGCTGACGTAAAAATCTTCTCCTTTGTAGTAGAAGTGGCTCTTGTGGCCCTGTGGGCGCAGACATTGATCAATGGACCAAGATTTTTACTCGTATCCAAAAAAAGCAGTGGATCAAAATGATGTAGACAGTTCTTCAAGAAATCCTTCTCCGAAAGAAAAGGATTCATCAAATTGAAGACTTCAAGAGTTTGTTTTTTTTTGTACCAAAACTGACTCTTTTAAGGCCGATCGGGTCCCTCAGGTTTCAGCTCTATCTATCTGCCAGTCTCCCACACATCAACCAATCATTACCTGCTGGTGTTCTGTTTCAACAGTTATATGAATCGCTGGAATTTGAAGTCTCACCCGTTTTGAGACAAAAAATGCGCTTTAGGGATGGAACAAAATGTTGAAACGACCAAGCAAATCCTGTCACCCTCTCCACACCTTGGCTGCCTTATCCTCCGGGAAAAACATGGGCCAACGCCTGAAAGGCTTTCCACAATGGATACAGCGAGTCAGCGAGAATTTGTTTGACAATGACTCATTTTGAATCAGCCGGCAAGCTCTCTGCTTCAATCCTCTCATTCAAGAAGAAAAAGAGCATTCATCTTTCAAACCATTGTCTTAAAAACAAGAAGACTGAATATCCGCTAGGTTCACACCTGGAAGATCAGATTTAACTATTTAACATCTAATGCCTGTATTGTACATGAATTTTTCAGCAGAGGCTCTCCCACTCCCACCGTTCCCTTGCCCCCGTCCCCGTCGTCCTCGAAGTCTTGGGGATTTCCAGCAGCACCTGGGGCGAGGTTCCCTTGGTGGTTTTGAACTCCCAAACGAAGACTCCTGCGATTTTTCGGGAAATGGAAATCGAGACGGCTGGCAGTTTCAACCCAAGAAATGTGTCAAATGTGTGAATTTGAAACCACCAAAACTAGACGTGCTTGATATAAATCCTGCCTGTTTGCTGCTTATGTAAATCCCCCATATATATCTTCTTGGGAAAGGCATATGATCTCCCATAGTCTAGTGTATCCCAATTAGTCAATACGTCAAACATGATTTCCTCGCTATACCCCATCATATCCTCATGGTATCCCCATATTTGGGGCTTCCCACAACCACCAGTTTCAGCCTGTGTTGACGTGGTGGTGGTGGTGGTGGTGGTGGTGGTCGTCGTTGTGGTGTCCGGCGCGGCCAGCTCTTCACACTTCTCCTGGAGGATGTTCAGCCTTGGTTTCCCCCATGAAAAATGACCAAAACTTGGGTCAGAAGTCAAGGTCCCAAAATGACTTCGGAGACCCGCCTTGGGATGGTTTCACATGCTACTTTTTTGTGCCTTTTTTCATCTTTTTTCTGTCCTTTTTGAACCTTCTGGGGATCAACTGGCTGGAAGAATCCATCATGGCCTCCCAGAAACCTCCAGGGTGGCGGGTATCCCATCCGCTTCTCCTGCTGCTCGAAGATGGGTTGCAAGGCGCGAGACACGTAGAAGTCCTCCAGGAGCCGCTCAGCACGGCACGTGAATATATCTATATACATACATATATATATATATACATATGTATATATATATATACATATGTAATATGTAATAATCATAAGTCATATATAATCACTACGGATATGTCGGTTTTATCAGCTACAAATCCGATCCTTCATACGAGATCTGCAGCGTGAAATGATCATCAAACCTTTTTGGAAGGGTCGTCACACTATTCTCAACTGGTTGGTAGCCCATAATTGACCCATAATTTGCAACTCTTGGGAAACCTAGGCAGTTTTTCAACATCAAACCTTACGGGGGTGTCCTGCAAATAGTCCCTTAGATTGATTCTGGGAATATGGGGTATGGTCATCCAACCGCTATCCGGAATTATTGCTTGTGTTGGGAATGAAAACTTTAACACCAATCAGTTGTGAAAGTATCCTAAGCATTCCTAAGCTTACAATTCTTAATCAGAACATGTCAGAACCATCTTCCAACTAGAGTAACTGGATTTGTTGATCATTGTTGTGATATCTTGGGGACTCTCCAAATTCTGTTTCGCTGGCTTTCGAATGGCCACTGATCAGGTCGTCCGCCTGCTGGAAGACCGTGTCCATGTCAATGTGCAGCCAGAAGTCGGTGGTCTCAGTGGGCGAAGTCAGATCGACAAATTGCGGATTTCACTACTCAATGGTGATTTAACCACATATGGACCTATGGATGCTGATTTAACCAACGAAAAATAGTTTGATTTATAGAGAAACAAAGTTTACCAACGAAAACTCGTGATGTGGATCTGGAACTTAGATCAAACTAGCTGGTGGTTGTTCAGTTTTGACCATCCACAGATTCCATTTAAAATCATAGGTTCCCCTCAAGACTCACGTGGAGCTGGGTAGGAGCTTCCTGTTGATCCCAAGCGGCGAGGGTCTCAAAATTAGAACTGCATTAACTGCATTCCATCATATATAAGGATATAATATTATGTATATATATATAACATTATATAACTATGTATATACATAGTTATGTATATATATATAACTATGTATATATATATATACATAACTATGTATATATATATATACATATATACATATATATGTATATATACATATACAGTATATGTATATATACGCGTTATAATCATGTTCATCATGACAAATTGCCAAGGAAAAAAGGAGGCCATCCCCCAATCTCGAGACAAATCCCAGGCCCCTGTTTCCTGGCCATCTGCAAAGCTCCCCGGCCATCAGATCCAACAGAATGTTCACAGCTCGCGCCTGACAGAGCCATTGGGATCAGCGTGGACCTTCTTGGGCAATCTGGGTCCCAAAAAATGTATTTTACCTGGAGCAAAGCTACCAGCTACCCTATGGAAATGCAACCTGGTGAAATCCTGCACAGAAAGATCTAATTTCATCGATTTATCTGTTGATTTACAGATGTTTTCTATTTCAACAACTGGGATTCCACATTCCTCGTATGTTGGTTTCTCCCTGCTGAAATCGACCATGAACTGGTCATCTTCCCCCCATCTCGACGTCTGACATCGGCAAGCGCGGAGTTTTAAGGGCCTGCCCCCTCTCTTCTTTCGACTGGTAGATAAATGTGCAACGATTGTGTGGCATCCTGGCGACATGGGATGGGCTTGATCGGCTGGGGTGCGGGGTGAGACTCCAAAGGTCCAACCTAAGGGAAGGATGCGAAAGGTTTCGGATCTGCCCCCCTCTCCGGTGCCTCTCTTCAGCCTCGGGGCAGAAAAGCCGAATTGCTCCAACTCCAAAGTCTTTGGATTGGAGACAGGCCCTGAAAAAGACAACAAGATCTCAATACGAATTGCCGGTGATGTGGGTGTTTCGGAAAATTGTGCCAGCCCCCGAAAATTGATGGTTGAGAAAATCAGGGTGTACATCCCCATTTTCAGGCGGACCCAAATCAGATATAGTAGATATACGTAGATATAGTATGATATAGTTGTACAAGGTGGTGCCCCATAGTTAGCTAAGTTGGTTTATAACTCCAATAACTATGGTTTATGGTAGATATAACTATAGTTAATGGGGCTTATAAACCAACTTATAACTGAGGGGCACCACATTGTATAGTATGATATAGTTGTATATGTCCCCATTGTCTGGTTGGTTTTCTACCCTCAAAAACTGGGATTTCCCATTCCATCATGCATGTTTCGACCACTGCGGGGAAGAAAACACCGGAGGGGTGCCGGGTTTCGGGCGACGGATGCGTTCAACCCCACACCTCAGCAGACCAGCAGATGATCTATCATGGTTTGCTCAAGAATGAATGGGAGGAATAAGAACAATACAAATACATAGCCGGAACAGATCGTTGTCATCAACAACACCATATATGAATAGCAATTCAAAGCGATCATACTTAGTAAGTAAGTAGGTCTAATGAAGATTTTGATTTGGGTTTGTCTGAAAATATGGTAACCCCAAACCCAAGCCAAGGGTATCATCGTCCTGTTCGCAACTTGACATCCCCGGCAGCCAGGGAAGAAGGCCAAGTTCTCCCGGCGACTTTCGTCCACCGTGGGCCTCAAAGCTTGATCCATGGATTGGTTTTCTTGGGGAATGCTACAGGAAATCCTTGGTGTTTGTCCCTATTTATATATATAGATTATTTGTCCCAGCTATAAACCATTATAAACCTCCATTGAGTTCGGGGATTGTCCAGCTAGCCATGTTTGAGTACCGAAGGGTACAGGGGGGTTCAATCATCAAGTTTCCCGTCCTCTGTGACTTGATCGGCCAAGGCCGATCATGGGGGCCCGTTGAGACTTCAACCGGAACTCGGTGCAAAAAACATCCTCCAGTCCCCAGTCCGGGGCCCAGACCCCTGTTGCTTGCCGTTCAAATCCTCAGACCTGACCGAGAGAGCCAAACTGGAAGATTATGAGAGAGAATGGAAAAACATACCCTCTGGTAAACTAACATAGCTATGGAAAATCACCATTTTTAATGGGAAAATCCACTATAAATCACCATTTTCAATAGCTATGTTAAATTACCAGAGGGTACAAATGGCGAGCTGGGAAATCCCCGAACTAAATGGAGATTTTCCATGGGATAATCATCAATGGATGGATGATCCGTTGCCAGATTTGATTGCCTGGGGGTAAAGCTTCAAGTTCGTTTCAAGACCCTCTGGCACACTTTCTGGACTCCAATTCTGGAGCATGTTCGGCCAATCTCAAAACGGATGAGGCGAAACGTCCAGTGTTGCGGCCAATCTCCAAGGTCCAGTAGCGCCTGCCATCGTACCAATCATCGATGATCAAGAACTCCTTGATGTAGAATTCACCCTCCTTCGCCGAAAAAAAAATCCATCCCAAGTTGAGATCGTTTTGGGTGGCGCACAAGCCACCATGCAGGAATGATCTAGCTGTGATCGCTGAGGTGTGGTTTGCTGTCAACCAAGAATGTATCCCGGCTCTTGTGATCAACCACACAATTGAGGTCTTCAGCAAAACTCAATAGGACGGGTACAGGCTGAGATTGGAGATTGGGCTTGGCCATGAATCGAAGACAAATGATTCTAGACATGTGGTCAACCGTTATTGGTTGGCGAAACCCTGCACTTCAGTGGGGAAAACTATCCTTATGACAATTTTAGCCAGCCACACATTGGAAATCCAAAATTATTTATTTTTTCGATTTATTATCATTTTACTTATCACCAAAAACATCACCAAAATCATCACCAAAATTGCTGAGGTTTCCCAAAGATTCCATTTTGGAGCTTCTGGCAGCCCCAAAGTTTCCCTTGCAGAGGTTCTTGTAGGGAAAGGCTCCCCAAAGTTTCCATTTTGGGGGGTTCCCGGCCCTCCCCCCCAGAGAGGCGCGGAGGCCACCAAAATGGCTCATTTTTGAAAAATCCAAAACACGTAAAAAACTTCGAGTTTTTTTTGTTTTTCCGTTTTTTTCTCGTTTTTTTCATTTGGCTGTCATGTTTTTTTTCGTTTTTTTTCCGATTGTTTTTCCTTTTGTGGTTCCCGGCCCTCCTCCCCCAGAGAAGCGCGGAGGCCACCAAAATGGCCGATTTTTAGCCAATTTTTGAAAAATCCAAAATCGTAAAAAACCTCGAGTTTTTTTCGTTTTTTTTTCGTGTTTCTTTCGTTTTTTTTTCATTTTATTTTCGTTTTTTTTCGTCTTTGGTGGTTCCCGGCCCTCCTCTTAGCAAATTTTGGAAAAATCCAAAACACGTAAAAAACCGAGTTTTTTTCGTTGTTTTTTCGTTTTTTTTTTTCGTTTTTTTTTCGTTTTTGGTGGTTCCCAGCCGGAGGCCACCAAAATGGCCGATTTTTAGCCAATTTTTGAAAAATCCAAAATCGTAAAAAACCTCGAGTTTTTTTCGTGTTTTTTTCGTTTTTTTTTCGTTTTTTTTTCATTTTTTTTTCGTTTTTTTTCGACGTTTTTTTCGATTCCCAAACGTATTTTCATTTTTTTTTTCGACTGCGCAATCGCGGTCGTCACTGGCACAATCGCGGTCGTCACTGCCAAATTGCGTTCCGGCTTTGCGGGAGTTGTGATGGAGGCAGTATCAGCGCGCATCACGGTTGCCCGGCTATTGGGCCGTTGGTAGATTCTAGTGAAAATCCAAAATAATCGGATTAGAACGAGCGGTGACTTGGAAATTTGTTTGGTGAGCCTGATTTGCTGGTGATGTTTATTAGGATGATCCACATGATACAGAAATAAAGCTAGCCAAACAGATGAAGATTTTGAGGATAAGTTTGGTGATAGCCAAAGTGATGATTTTTTGAAAAAAAAATGTTCTTGTGAGCCCCAGCCTGTGGCTCCCAAATTCTCATAAAACTATCCCACATTTGGCAGATGGCAAAATATTGGGAGACCAAATCACGTGCTAAACTTGTTCCCAAAATGGTCCAGAATTGTGGTTTCCTGATGCAGTGGGTAATCTTTGAGCCAAATTTCCATTCACATCCACACCACCCACCCTGCATCACATCCTTGAGATGTTTGAAGACATTGGTCAGCACCTGCAACATGTAAGGATGGTGAAGAATCAATAGACGTTTGAGCAGAACTTCTCCTCTTGCAACCCTCTTTGATGCTGAAGAATTATCCAACAGCCCTTGGCTGTTCTGATTTTTTTTGAGTCTCCCCAGCCCCAAGAAATTTGCACCAAGAAAATCAGGGCACCTGCTCTCCCAAAGCTCAATAGGAATATGTACAGGAAATGATCGTTTTTATCCCCCAATATTTTCCCTTACATATTCCCCTTCCAGACTTGGATTAAGGGGTTCCTACAGATTTTTTCCCTTAATCCAATGGTTGGATTGAAGCTTGAAGCCCTGCCAGGCTTGGTCACCTGGTTAACATCCGGAAATGACCCAAGTATATAGGGTTAGGACGGTTAGGATCATCCATCTTCGGGACATTTCGTTACCCAGAACCACACCCCCTTCATATCCCCGTGATATCCTCCGTTGATCCTTGGCCATGGCTACACCCCAACATCCCACCGTCCCTCCGCGCTTCCATCGCTTCCCGACCTGTCGGAACTTGATGCTGTCCGCATACTTGGCCAGGTGCGTGCTCATCGTCACCGTGACCTTCGATCAGATCATTGGGATGAAAAACCAGCAAAAATGCTGATTTTTTGACGATCAAATACGAGAAATACATGGTATTGAACCAACCAAACTGGGGTTTCAATGGATTGGATTTCAAAAAAATCGGCGACTATGTGTTTTTGTCGAAGATTATCACTTTCCTGTAAGTCTGTTCCTTCACCTCATGGGACAAGAGACCACTGTATCAGCCACTGAACACCGCTTAAACCACAGGAATATCGAACCAGCGGATTGTTGTTTGGATATGATTGGGTTTCAGTTCAGCTGGGACGACCAGCTAATGCTTGCAGTTGACTTTCCACTGCCCTTTCAGAAACATCCTTTTCCATCTAATCAGGGGCTGAACCAAAACCGGTTGAAAAATATGGGCCCCTCTTGACATCCGCAGGTTCGAAAACCATATCCCCACGATTCCTCCCCCAATTTCGGCATGGGTCGAATCCTTCCGATTCAAACCACAAAACTTTCGGCCCCTGATTCCATGATCTGCTGTTTGATAGGGGGAAACATCATCCCAGTGTGCAGCTGGAAACAAACAAGCACGCAAACCACCAGCCAGCTCTTGGCTGAATCACAAACAAAGTCCGACAAGTTTGGGTTTCAGAACTGGTCCTGAAACGTTGAATCTATGTTCAAAATTGTTACCTAAATTAATAGTTCATAGTTCCCTCAATTTCTGTCGATCACAAAAAATGGTTCTTGATCACAAATTGCACCTATTTTTGAAAAGTCTTGTTCCTTGGCCATTGGGTTATGGATCAAAACTTTGCCACATTTTCCAAAATTGTTGGTAGTTGCAAGTGCTCATCCCCCATGAAGAATATGGGGACTGCGTAAATCAGCATTGAATCCACATGTTTGCTGGTTAAACCTCATTTAAATCCTGTTCACATTTTTGCGGGTTCAATCCCCATGAAATTCAACTACCCGCATCAAAACCCCTCACCCGTTGTCGTCGTTTGCCTGATTGGCTGCCTCCTCGTAACGCACCGGTGCCGGTGGTTGTGGACGAAAACCACAGGTCTGGCGCGGATGCATTGGTGGACGCCGGGGTATGGCTCAGAATTTGGGATTTAACTTAACTATATGTTCAGAAACCATGTTGGTGAAAGCGTCGCTACCTTCCAGTCAGCAAACGTGGCAGTTCAAATCCCCACATGTCTTCGTTGGGTTCAAAAAACTGCGTTGATGAAAACAAACTCCCAATGTTGGGCAAGTCAATTTCACATGGTTCTTCGTGAAATATCAGTTTCCACCATGTTTTGCACTACCAACAATAAGCAAAATCTGCGGCTTCAGAGATCGTAGTTTCAGGCGCCAGTACCCCAACTCCAACCAATCTTCAACTAGATAAACTTGCACCACTCCAAAGTCTTGATTGGAAGATGTTCATCAGCTCTTTAGTTGGTTTGTTTTTTTTGCATCATGCTTGGTAGAGGCATTGGCTCTTGAACTCCACCAGAACAAATGTTGGTTGCTACATGGAGGTGTCCTACAATGGGGCTACCCCCAAATCATCCATTCTAATAGGATTTTCCATTACAAATTGCAAACCATCCATTTCGGGGATCCCACATTTTAGGAAACCCCCACATGTTGCTATCAATGTCCATCACCCCAGTCGGGGAACCTCGGGGACCCAGTCAGAGACGCGGAAGGGAGTTGCATCCGTGCCCCACATCAGGCCTGGTGCTTTGCTGCTGAAACCCACAGGAAAACCCTCCGTTTTGAGTGGTCATCACGGATACTTGGAGTTCCAAACACCACAAGATAACCAACACTTGGCCTTGTAGTACAAGAAAATGGGAAGACTACTGGAAGTACAGTATATACTATCTTTTGATTATGTATTCTCACCGCCTTATGCCTGATGCAATCAAGATTGCTTGGGCAATCAAAGACTATCAACATCACGGCAAGGATTGCTCTTGAAAACTGTGACCAAACAATCATCACCCACATGGCTTTCGATCAAAACCCTCGTGCCCTGCTGTTCACATCAAAAGTAGCAATTGTGGATGTTCGTTCCACATGTGAAAAATCATCTATTTTGGCCCATAGCCAAATTGGCTTTTAGCTGTGCCCCCTGTCCGAGCAGCCCGACGTGTCTGGTTTTGCACCACCGAGTTGTTCCCCTCGTAACCTGTGGAAGTCTAGAACCCAAAACCGTCGGATTGGGGTGCGCCTCGAAATCATGGGATAGACCTCACTGGTAAATTGACCATAAAGGTCTCCCCAGCTAGTGGTACTGTTGTAGCATGTGGTAGCAACAACTTGGATTTTTGGAACACCCCCAGAATGAACAGAATTCTTCATGTGAGGATGTAAATTTCTCTCTTCTCTGTGCATGCAGGAGTTTCCGGAACGTCCGTCGACAAATCTCGAGGGTACAAGCTGAGTTAGCTGGAACTGACCCATTGCTGTGGTATGTATCGTCTGTATCGTCCATCTCCTCATTGAAGCCAGGTCTACCCTGAATTGATTCAGTTCGAAGTTCCAACCTTTGCATGTTCAACTCTGCTTTTGAGAGGCTGGTTCATCTCACCGCTGAAACAAGTTATTATATATATATATACATAGAATATATATATATATAATATATATAATATATTTATAATATATATATATAGAATATATTTATAATATATATATATATATTATATATAATATATTTATAATATATATATATAGAATATATATATACCGTGTCTATACCGTGTCCAAACATCCCTATGGGTCACAATAATGATGGAATCGTCTACATGTATGTTGATTGTTAGCATCGTCATGATTATCCCTCTTATCATTACTGTGAGTGTGTTCTGTTCTTTTCATAGTCGAACAGTTGATCCTACCGGCTACAAGCGTCGACCCCACTAAAACTTGATCCCATAGTATTATATAATGTTGTTCTTATTGTATACGTTTATATAAATAATATATATATATAATAATCATAATAATAATCATAATAATCATAAATCATGATAATCATAATAATCATAAATCATAATGATCATAATAATATTAATAATATTAATAATATTAATAATAATAATAATCATAATAATAATCATCATCATCATAATAATCATAATAATCATAATAATCATAATGATTTAATAATAATAATAAATAATAATAATAATATATACAATTATATAGGATCCATCTGGTGGCAAAGAAATCTCCACCATTCCACCGGTCCAATGTTTTTTTGGGGCCCCAGCTGCCAGCGTGTCGCAGGATGAACTGCGGATGCCTCTCCTGGATGAACTGCTCCATCTGCTCGATCCCAGTGGGAGAGAATGGAGTGAGACGTTCATTGGATTGGTTTTGTTGGGAAAATCTACAGGAAACCATGGTTTTTACCATCAAATATAGGGCTTCAATGTGATTTTCATGGAAATTTTCGAGAATGGAGCGAATGGAAATGTAAGTAACTATTTGATGCCAATGTGATTGAATGAGACTTTGTTCAGCCATGGATTTCTTCCAAAGACATTGTCTGGAAATGTTTTTTTTGATGCCAATGGCAATTTCAGTATTCGCAATTTGCCATGAGAATTATAGTTTGCCATCCATCCTCAGAAATTGCGAAGGAAAACTGGAGAGAACGGACAAAAAATATCAGGCGGGGCCCTTCCTTTTTGGGGATAATGTCTATTCTGGAATGGCTTAATGTTAAGATTCTTCAAGTTGGGGATCACCATTCGCAAAGTTAATAACGGATGGCAACGCGTTTGACTTCATTGCAATGTAAAGCATACCTACCTGGGCAAGCCGCCAAAGCGGAGCTTCGTCCTCTGTTGCTCCCCAAGCATCATAGCGCTGGGGCGTCATCCAGAAGTCACACGCCTGGTTGGGCGAAGAAAAAGATCCTGGTTGAGCTCAAATGGTGGTCAATGCTATTCAATTTCAAGAGCTGAATGAGGCTGAATGCCAAAAATCAGAATCTTGGATCCCTGGGTAATTTGGTGGCCACAAATTCATTCTTCCACCTGGCTCAGCACAGTCCCAAATCAGTTCAAAGGATCGAGCAAGTTGGGGTTCAGAAGGGAAAGTCATGTGTTTAAAATGGTGGAGCTCACAACTTGCTTTCCCCACTACAAAGGACACTTCGGGTTGATACCTGGGATTTCCCCATGACTTCAGAAACCTCCAAACGTTCACCATCTGCCTCGTAGCTATTGAAGGTCAGCTGAAAGTTGCAGTCCAACCATCCTCGGCTGCGTGATCAATTGACAAAAATACCAGCCCGTACCCAATGGGGTTTAATAGGATTTCATGGGATAAAAATGGGGATTGAATATCAACAATAGGGATTCTAATCATTCTAATCCATTCATCCTCCGGTGTTCACTTAAACATGGCTGGGCAATCCCATGTCAGTTCGCTGCGAAAATGATCGACCATGATCGACTGGGGGATGTGACTTAAAAGCCACGTTCGATGACCGGAGGGTACTTCAATCTACTACCCACCATTCATGGAGAGGCCGTTTCGAGGTCGTTGCAAATTGTCCAGGTATGCGAACGGAAGACTGAGTCTGCAAACAAAATCTGTGGATTTGTCTGAAAATCGGGTCCCCAAAAGGTCATTATTTCACCATTTTAAGACACCCCCAAGTGGATATTCGCGGTTATATCCCGATGATATCCCCATTTTACCTAGTTAAATCCGAAATTGCTGATGGTAAATCTACCTCCCAGCTCTGAGATCCCAAGCGGCTTTGATCCTTTTCGTATAAGGCACGCAGTTGAACGGTGCCAAACCTCGCTAGCGACTGAGGTTGAGTTAAGGATTGGCTTTTGCCAGCTTTGATTGGGAAAAATAATGATACACATGAGCGTTTGTCTAAAACTAGGGCATTAATTTCAAAGGATGATCATCATTTGGCCAATTTAAAAATGCAGTCTTAGGGTATACAGTACCCAGTTTTTGGACGAATCCTTTTTTTTTCGGGGTGAAGCTGTTGGGCACCCCAAAACCGTCCGGAAAATGATGAGGAATCATGCATTTTTTCGCAGTACTCTATTTTGAATGGGCAGTGGTCAAGTCGCAACTTACCCCAGTTTTATTGGATTTTTATTGGATTGTCATCCAACTTTCCTTTCGAAATAACCCATCATGTTGTGGTGGTCGAAAATTCCGCGCCGCCGGGCGGCCCTGTACTGAGCATCCCAGACCGGTTGGAGGTGACTAACCAGGCTGAGGACAAGTAGCTGGAATCTTCGCGCCTCACTAGCTGGGCCTGAGCAAGGCAGGACTCATCCACTGGTCAGTGTTGAGATGATTCCTAACATGACATGAATTTGTATGTATCTGTATGTATATAGTATGTGTGTATGTGTATATATATAATATATTGCTATGTACATATGTATAATTTAATTTATATATATATACATATAATATGTATATACATACACGCTACTAATTATTTGATTGGGATTAAATGTAAACTGATTATATACTGATGAGTGGCAAGTGGGATGAAAGGGGTTCAAAAAACGCACAACTGATCCTGTAACCATAGACTAGCTCATGCAAGTGATACCCAACTTTAACCTCTACCTCCAGTTCTTGGACAAAGAAAATGCGCATACAGGATTGTCTATGGGGAAAATCCATGATGATTTACCGTCATGCGTCCAACCCCGGTAATCCCCATGATATCGCCAAGATTCAGGGACGTAAATCCCCATGATATGAGACACAGCCACTTGGATATTGGTGCTTTATATCTTCAATGGGAATTTCAGGATCCTAAACTGGAGGTACCTACCATATATAAGGCCTATTTTTTAGGCCTATTTTTTAGGCCTATTTTTTAGGCCTATTTTTTATGCCTATGTAAGTGAATATCACCACAAAATATGGCCTAAAATATGGTACTAACGTACCTCCATTTTAGGATCCTGAAATTCCCATTGATTCCCATTGATTTCCCCAGATCCGTTGAGATCTCCAACGCTATCACTGGCATGGAGCAGGAAGTGCTCCTCATCCACCCACAGCGCCTGGTGCCGACGAAAGCCCCAAAAAGATGCAACAAAGGATTCAATCAACAAAGTGCTTTTACCCTCTGGTAAACAGGCACATAACTATGGAAAGATCCACCATTTTTAATGGGAAAATCCACTATTTCAATGGTGATTTTCCATAGTTATGTTATGTTAGTTTACCAGAGGGTAAATAGAGTGATTCAATCAACAGCCGTTGGTTATAACATAGACCATCTGCGCCGCAAAGCAGAAAGTGATCTGATGTGATTCAATCAACAAAGCTATGGTTTTAACAAGTGAGGCAAAAGGATAACTCTCTACCACATCTCCAACTAAGCCGTGATTTCCGGAAAAAAGCTAGATGCTCTATTATGGAAATTACAGGAGACACGTGGCTAGCTGGAAAATCCTCTATAAATGGTGCTTTCAGAAGGGAAAATCGTCGAGCGATTTTACCATTGGTTGGACCCATGACATTGACTACTAAGGTCCATTACTTTAAGTCCACCGTAAGTAATCCCTGAAATTCCCAGATTATTTTCCCAATCATGGCAATCATCCTTATGGCAAGTTAAAATCCCAATCATCTAGTTTCCCTAAAACAAGTACAAAAATATACAAAAAGAGTTGCAAATGTCTAATCCAACTTGGGGGTTTAGATATTTTTTCCAGAAAATTGAACTGGCTGTAGTTCAGCATGCTGATCTTGGAGGATTCTTCCACTTCGTAAGCGGAAAAAATATGCCCAGTTGGATGGGTCCCCATTCAGCGGGGGTCTCCCAATTAAAAAAAACATGGCTGAACTATGGTTTCCAGTTTCTCCCGTAAGTTAGAAGTTGTACCAAAATCGAATCAAAAGTTATACCCATACAGTTATACCATAGTTATACCCATTAAAACTACCAAAGTACCCAGTTATGCCACCATTGATCTCGGGCTAATCCTGGTGGCCGCCTTTACGGAGGATGACACGGGGGCTCCCAAGCCCTGGCGTTGGCAGTCGGGGAGTTCGATGGATTCGGAAAATCTTCACCGGAAAGCATGGATTTTTCCATGAAGATCATGGGGGTTTTCCTGTAAATTGTCCTTTAAACCAATGGGGACTTCGTCATGAGGAACGTCAAAGATGCTATGAATAACAGAATTGAATTTTCAATGTCCCCCATATGACCGGGGGAAATGTGGATGTGATACGGGGATATTCCATATGGAATGTGACGTACTTCTCAGTATTCATCCATATTCATATGATTTCTGGTGTCTGCAAGCGGTGTATATATATATACCACAAGAAAACAACATGTTCATAGGGAAGATGATGAAGGGCCATTTAATTCTATCTTCAGACAAAACCAAGTGGAAGTATTTTGAGCAAAAAGAATGAGTTGACAAATTGGAAGTTTGTCACCAGAATTGAGAAACTTCCACTACAGCAAAAAAAATGCAACTGGAATATCCACCACCATCTCAACCACCGATCGGAAATCTGGCAGTTGAAGTCCGGTAAGACCATAACACCTTTGAAACATCGAAAATCCCCCAAGAAAACTACAACCTGCTGTATCTTGCTGAAGGTGCCAGCTGGGTCGCGTTCTTGAAAGCTATGAAAATGGACGACCTAACCAAGCTAGTCTCCGCATCTGGCAGAATCCCTGATCAGCCCAAAATGCATGTGCTCGGTTTGGGGGACCAGGGCATCTGGGGCAGGATAGGCAGCCCTGTCTGTGTGTTGCTGTCTGGTAGCATTTCTCAGGTTGCCACCCCCATGCTGGGGTCCCAAATATGTATAAAGCCACAGCTTCTGCGGGGTGTTTAAGATGAGTGGGAATGGATGATATTTTTAGAGAACCAAGATGCCCTCAGACATAGAGAGCAATCTTTCCCAGCTGGCGTTGCCCCAAAACAGAGTTCTTCCATGCCTGGTCATGCTCTTTGCTGATGAACGGAGCAGGTGGAACCTCCGGTCCAGCCGCAGTTGGTGATTTTGGGGGGCGGAATGTGATTGGGATGAAACCCTGAAATAGTTGCTGAGCGACTGACTTTCTGACGTGAATGTTTGAGAAAGCAGCGATCTTACATTAGAATCTATAAATCATCGCACTTAACAGTTGATGTTTGATCGATCTTTCACTGAACTATCATATAAAATATATTAAAATATCATGATCTGCCGGTCTTCCAGGGAAGTGCGCTTCGCAGCCAGCTACTATCCATATAGTTCCATCCCATAAGGGATATCCCAAATGGTGTGAGTGGTACAGCTACAGGTGACACTCTGCTTCTGGCATATCCGCTTAAGGGCACAGGTATGGCTGCTCCAACATACTCTAATTGTGCACTTTTGGCATCAAAGATCATCAAAACATATACGTATTACATCAGAAGTGCATCTCGATCCAGCCACGTGAAAGTAATGAAACCCTCCGGCATGCTTCGACCCTTCCTTCAAAAGCCTCCAGCAGGAATTCCGGCCCCGAACGCCTTCGTATCAGATCTGCCCCATTTTGAGAGCCCCCCCATATTTTGGATGAGGAAAATTCCTCGGTTTTCCCATGGCTTCTCCCATCCCAAATTCCCCAGAAAGGACCTGCAGAGTAGCCAGGTCATAGGGATGACCTGACAGCCGCAGTGGTCATCCCCAAAAGATTAAAAAAAGGTAAATCCCAACACACATAGTGAAGATTAGTGATGAGTGTTCCTACCTTTTTGGGGCTTACTATAGTCATTTTATGTCATTTTGGGGTCTCCTCCATCTTGAGGCAAAACGTCTCCATCTTGAGGACCTGGCCGAAAAGGCCTCCAGACCGTTCAATGACGCTCAAGACACCTGCCTCTTGGATTCGGCGATGGTCGGTGAGATCATGTCAGACAAAAAACTCAAGAACATATGTGTCAGGCAAATTCAGAAGTGCAAAGCTCATGCACCCGGCTGGCAAAACGGACATGGCTTTTCAGAGAGAAAATTGGGGGTTTACTGAGAATCGGGTGTCAGTGTTTCATTTCAAACTGAAGCACCGAATTTTGTGTACCCTCTTGAACATGGCCATTTATAGTGGATTTTCCCATTAAAAATGGTGGATCTTTCCATACTTATGTGGCTGTTTACCAGAGGGTAAGTCTGGTGCAATAAATCTGGCTCTGAAGTCTTTGCTGGTCCTCAGGGTGTTTCGTTGGAAGCCAGCCTGGTAGCCACAGCCAACGACAATCAGCAGGGCGAACCAGAAGAAGCAGGACGTCAAGTCCTCGAGGACCCCAAGTGAAAAGGCCCATTTTAGTGGGACATATGGAGCAAATGGGGATAAAATGCTGGTATGAGATATGTAACCATATGTATGTCATGACTCGGATGTGTCTGAAAATGGGATATTTATACTACCATAAAACGGCAATGCTGACACGCAAGATGGTGATTAGTGGATTGGCCGGTGGAAGTTGAGATACCCAAAACTTAAGACAAACCCAGGTAAGCGCTCGGGTAGCGGCAGCATGCGGCAGCGAGAATCGAGTGAATTGCTGTGTCAGGGATAGAACCTCCATTTTTTGCTGAAATCTCAGTGTCTGTGCCCCTCAAAAATGTGGTACAGTACATACCCAAGAGTTGCTAGTTGCGGTTAGATTCGTTAGATAGCGTTGATACCCAACAAGTTTCAGAAGCAAATGAGGATCAACTGTGTGCAGCTTTGTACCACAACACCACAGTCCGAAATATGCATGACTCTTTTCATGTAGGGATGGGGATGGGTCATCTCAGATTCCGTTCTGACTTAGCTGATCTGGGGATCTTCTACTAAAGTTACTAAACCATGCTTGCAAGTGGATATGGGACGGGGTCAAGGAAAGAAATTGCAGCCATCAGCCTAAAGTTTTAACCAAAAAGCAGCTGATGTTTCAGTTTCAACATGAGCTTCAGGTGCTCAAAACGACGTTTTACTCTGCATCCTTCCTGAAACCACAAAAGACGACTCACCTTCACCGTGTTTTTTCCACCAAACTTCCACCATTGCCAAGGCACTACAGTTGAAAGCTTCTGAAGGAAAGACGATGGAGCCTTTGGACCCCGTTTTTTCAGGGATTTCGGGGATGGGTTTTGCCCAAAACTTTGGTATACCTGGCCTGGAAAAATATGGGTGGAGGGAAAATGGAGGCTTAAAACCAACGATTTCTATGGGGAGACAATGGGGATATGGTGGGATATGGTGAGGTGTAGAACCAACAATATGCATATATTAACCCGCTGATAGAAAAGGGTTCTAAGTTCTATCTTTTTGGGTGTTCCTTTTTTGGGCCGTTCCTTTTTTGATGAGAACATATGATGATCAACCATTGAGGTTCGCAGCGTTCTCAAAGATTTTAAGCCAACAAACCTGGATGGCAGCTGAGTCCCGTTGATTCATTGGTTCATGCAAAACGATTGTATATCGACGAAATTAGATCTAGTATTTTCCCATATATCACATAGTTTCAAACAGCGTGACTTCCCACACTGCTACACAAAACCTAGTTCCAAGCCAATTCCGGGCATCCGGCTGCTTCCTCTGCCTGGGACAGTGGGGTGTTCCCCTTTTTTGAACTGCCGCGATCTGGGCAGAAAACCCATGAAAATACGTGTTTTTTCAATGAACATTGCGAAAGTCGCTGAAAGCTGGGAGAAGTCAGTGAAATGTTGGCAGATGGTCTCTTATGATCTCCCCTGATCGTATCTAGCCAGCAAGCTAGGGAATGTCAGGGTTTTTTTCACCATGGGATTTCGTGGTTTTCTAACATGGGGATCCCCCTGGTTGGCTGGTTGGTTTATAATGGAAAATCTATCTATAAATGAATGATTTAGGGGTACCCCTATTTTAGGAAACCTCCATATACATACCTAGAACCACAGAAACCTTCTTTTTTTTTGGGTTAAAAATAAAAAGACGTCGATTTCCAGAAATAGATGTCGTTATATATATATAATGTACATAGAGGCATCATAATTCTTGTAATTCGCCCACCTGAAACACGACAATATGTGTTTGGGACAGCCACAAATATTCACTACCCGGGCATATTCCTGCAAGAGCCCACTACAGTACGTTCTCTCAATAGTTGGACTAATCCAACAGTCCCCGAAGTCTTTTCAGACAATTGAGATGGGTTTGTCTCTTTGAGTATGTAGTAATTGGAATATATTGGAATGGGGACAATGATGATAATTTCATACTACATTGGATTTATGGGCTTTCCCCTCAATCCTCAATTTTCAGACAATCCCGTATTCACAACTTGCGCACCTGCTCCCCATCTTTTCCTTCCTGGCGAATGCGTGGGATGACTACGACTGCGCTTGACTCTTCCCCGCGGAAAATGCCCTTATTGCGGGAGTTTCAAAACAATATACAGTAAAGGTATATCTGTATACATATATATATATTATATGTATATATATATATGTATATATATGTAATGTGTATATATATATATATATATATGTTACATAATTATCTAATGATAAAATTTTAACTGAAAACTGGAGTCGGCCATTGTCATGCTTTTTCTGCGAAAATCGAGCGATGATGAATTTCACACTGGACCCGACAAGTCGCACAGGAGACCTTCATCAAACTTCCAAGCAAAGTTACCCTCTGGTAAACAGCCACATAACTATGGAAAGATCCACCATTTTCTAGCTGCGAAAATCCACTATTTCTATGGTGATTTTCAATAGCTATTTTTAATTACCAGAGGGTATGTCAAAAGTCTGGCTCAGAAGAATACCATCCCGAAAGGTCATGGAATATATGGAAGATGATCATCTCAACTAGCAAAAATCGAAAAATTCCAACATAGATCAATTGGATCACCAGAAAAACCTGGACATCCCCATTTTTCAGGTAGCGTGACGCATCAACCGCTGCCTCCATGGACACCATCTTGCGAATCTCAGCATCCTGCCATCCGGGCAAGAAATGGGGATGTGAATGGAGCCTCCACTCGAAACCCCCGAAACATGGATATACCCTCTGGTAAACTAACATAACTATGGAAAATGACCACAGAAATAGTGGAGTGTCCCATTAAAAATTGTCATTTTCCATAGTTATGTTAGTTTGCCAGAGGGTAATCGCAATGTAGTAGGAGTCCCCCACAGATATGGTAACCAAACAAACAAATGAACTGCCGCCCGTTTACCCTGTTTTGTCCAAACAATGTCCCAAGAATGGGTTTATTGCTGGGCTTACCACATTGTTATGTGCGGATTGTTCAGAGACAATGGAGGCAGGGACTGCAAATCATCCCTGACATTCCCCCAACAAGGGACAGCCGCCTGTTCCTTCTCAACCTCCGTTGCCTGCGGTGCACATGAAAAATGCAGGCGGGCCATGGAAAAACGGCGACCGTTTCGAAAAATCCCATGAAAGGTGGCTTCGCAGCTATTTCGCTGAGTTAACTCTTGTAACAATCCTCCTTCCTTACCAGCCGTACCAGGTATAACCCACACTTCACCACCAGCAAGGATACTTTTAATATGGATCCCTTGCAACTGCATGCTTCGCTTAAAGCCATGCTACACAGAAATGTGTTGAGCAACCCTAAATGGTGTTTTCTCCCTTCCCCCGCTATGAAGGGAATGGGATTTATGTGGTAAACCCAAAAAAAAAAGCTGCCATGACTGGGGATAGTTTCTACAAACTATTGGTTAGGGTACCATTGAGGATGGTTAAAAAACTTGGGTCTACCGGTCTAGCACATTCCTGCAAAATTGGCCACACATTCAAGAGAAAGCTGATATGCTTTCAAGGCCAGAAGAAATCGAATGGTAATTTTGTGCCATGGCAAATCATAGCCTTGAGTCACCATATGAACTACCCTCTGGTTATTTAACGTAGCCATGGGAAATGGCCCATAGAAATAGAGGTTTACCTATTAAAAATGGTGATTTTCCATGGCTATGTGAGTCATAACCAGATGGTACAACCAAATGCCAATCTTCCAGCTTCGCACTTTACTGCCAAAGTCGTTCTGGATCCCCAAAGTGCACGGGTGATTGCTGGGTGGATCACCCTAACAGAAAAAGGAGAAGTTACAGCATTTAAAAAGCGAATAAGTTATGCATATATATATACCGATCTATCTATCCATCCATCCATCCATCCATCCATCCATGTATATATATATCATATATATAATATAATATATATATATATATTTATCTCATACATCCCGAATAATCTCGGGATTCTTTGAGCCCATGGGGTGGAAAACCCCGTTTTCCGACGCAGAAACTGATCGGTCCTTCAGGGCTGAGTATCCACTGAAGGCAGTGATGGTCACCAGGTAGCCCACCATCTGCGGACAGTTGGGATCCTCATCTTGTGGGATTCTAATATAATGAGTAGTACCCTCTGGAAAACTAACATAGCTATTGAAAATTGCCATTTAGTTCGTGAGTTTTCCCATTAAAAATGGTGATTTTCCATAGCTATGTTAGTTTACCAGAGGGTAATACATATGAATAATAATGAACAAAAAGGGACAGTAATGAATATAATGAATATAATGAATAGTACACAAGAAATGTACATTTCTACATGGGATTCTAATATAGTAATGAATAGTAATCAGAGATCATGGGGGATATATATATATAGTAATATAGTTAATATAGCAATTACTGGTGCTAGAGAAGATTGATGTGAAAACTTAGAAATTTGGAGAAATATGAGAAAATGATGATGATAGCAGTATGAATTTCATTGGGTGAGAATCACCCAAATCATGTTCAAAAAATAGACTGCGGATACCTAATCTTAGCAACAACGATCCGTTTTGCCAAACCCTCAAAAACGTGTAAGGATGTGTAAGGTATACAGTTGTCAGCCTTTTTTCTGCTGTCAGGAAACACCAAAAAAATGGGCAGGTAAGGCAGTAAGAACATCCTCAATCTCCAAGTGGGGATCATTTACACCATGTTGATTGGAGAACATGCCAAACCGGGGAATACTAAATTGATGTGTGGTTCATGTGTGTTTATATCCCCTAGAACTACCTTTTTGTTGGCAAGATTGAATTACCTCCATCGCATTTTATGGCCGTTATCAACCTGGAACAATCCTGATTTTCTCATCATGAGGGTAGTGAGACCTCGAGTTATAGCCAAAAGTTGCTCTTTTTTTTTCGGCTAACTCTACTTGGTGGTTCATCCCACTTGCTAAGTAGCTTATAAGCCTGGTTCTGAGTGGGATAAGTAGGCTTAATCCACTTATAACTATGGTATACTATGGTTATAGCCTCTGGTAATTTGTTACATAGCTATTGAAAATGGCACATAGAAATAGTTGATTTACCTATTCAAGATAGTTATTTTCCATAGCTTTTTGTATGTTTACCAGGCCGGGTAACTTAACTTAACGGAACGGTGGTTTAAGGCACCGCCGCGCCGCTTAACTTTCCGCCGAACCTGTAGCCAGGTGAAATCCTCACCCCGGATGATGAAGAACAGAACCTGATAGCGTGGGTACCATGGGACATGTCTGATACCCGGCCTGGTAAACGTTGCCACATAACGAACTGGAAAGATCCACCATGTCTGATATAGGAAAACTCACTATTTCGACTGGGCCATTTTCAATAGCTATGTAACAAATTACCAGAGGGTATGGGAAATGGAGGTATTTCTGGAGATATACCTGCTGGGTACCATGGGAATAACCGTGGGAATACCCATTTTGGAACATGATAAAAAAGCTGTAACTGACTTAACCAGCTTCACAAATATGTATATTGAGGGCCGGAATTTGTAGTTTCTTTTGCCTGTGCTTTTTTGTGAAAGTTGGGAGACTATCTTCAAGACTAAGAGATTCCTTCCAAGGTTTTTCGCGGGACTTCCAGAGGCCAAAAGTCTAGTTAAACCGCATGATTTGTAGCTGAAAATTTTCAGTGGGTGTCAGTCCACTTGAAAACCTCTTATGGAACAGGTTAAAGATGATGTGTAACGAATTGATCAAGTAAACCAACTTCTTCCCTGGGATGATTGTATTTTTTTTTGGAAGCACCCTTTTTTCAACATGAAAAAGAATCACCCTTGGGGATATAAATAGGTATATTATATATATATGGGTATGATACCACATAGAAACCTATAGAAACCTATAGAAACCTATATAGTACAGATGGTACAACAATCACCCAGAACCATGAAAATTAGATCGGTGCTACCTCCCCAGGCTCCGCACCAGCGCGCTGCTGCGGACGATGACCAGCAACTTGGCCAAAAGGCCTTGAAGTCGCCAGACATATCAACGTTAGATCATGTAAAAGTAAACAGAACTGGTGGACCAGTGGATAGTATTGGATAAGATTGGATAATATTGGTAGCGGAATGTATTCTTGGACATAGTTCATAGACTGTCATGAGATTGATGGGTGTACCATCGGCTTAAGAGTCAACCGAAACTGCGGTGATACTTATTCTGGTGGCTATGGGATTTCGAAGCCAACGCGAAGGTCTGCGGTTTGACAGCTGCAACCCAACATGTTTTTATCTCAGTTTCACCATGTTTCACCATATGTTTCACCATATGTTTCACCATATGTTTCACCATATGTTTCACCATATGTTTCACCATATGTTTCACCATATGTTTCACCATATGTTTCACCATATGTTTCACCATATGTTTCACCATATGTTTCACCATATGTTTCACCATATGTTTCACCATATGTTTCACCATATGTTTCACCATATGTTTCACCATATGTTTCACCATATGTTTCACCATATGTTTCACCATATGTTTCACCATATGTTTCACCATGTGTTTCACCATGTGTTTCACCATATGTTTCACCATATGTTTCACCATATGTTTCCCCATATGTTTCACCATATGTTTCACCATGTGTGTCACCATGTGTTTCACCATGTGTTTCACCATGTGTTTCACCATATGTTTCACCATATGTTTCACCATATGTTTCACCATATGTTTCACCATATGTTTCACCATATGTTTCACCATATGTTTCACCATATGTTTCACCATATGTTTCACCATATGTTTCACCATATGTTTCACCATATGTTTCACCATGTGTTTCACCATATGTTTCACCATATGTTTCACCATATGTTTCACCATATGTTTCACCATATGTTTCACCATGTGTTTCACCATGTGTTTCACCATATGTTTCACCATATGTTTCACCATATGTTTCACCATATGTTTCACCATATGTTTCACCATATGTTTCACCATGTGTTTCACCATGTGTTTCACCATGTGTTTCACCATGTGTTTCACCATGTGTTTCACCATGTTTCACCATATGTTTCACCATATGTTTCACCATATGTTTCACCATATGTTTCACCATATGTTTCACCATATGTTTCACCATGTTTCACCATGTGTTTCACCATGTGTTTCACCATGTGTTTCACCATGTGTTTCACCATGTGTTTCACCATGTGTTTCACCACATGTTTCACCACATGTTTCACCACATGTTTCACCACGTGTTCACCACGTGTTTCACCACATGTTTCACCACGTGTTTCACCACGTGTTTCACCACGTGTTTCACCACGTGTTTCACCACGTGTTTCACCATGTGTTTCACCATGTGTTTCACCATGTGTTTCACCATGTGTTTCACCATGTGTTTCACCATGTGTTTCACCATATGTTTCACCATATGTTTCACCATATGTTTCACCATATGTTTCACCATATGTTTCACCATGTGTTTCACCATGTGTTTCACCATGTGTTTCACCATGTGTTTCACCATGTGTTTCACCATGTGTTTCACCATGTGTTTCACCATGTGTTTCACCATGTGTTTCACCATGTGTTTCACCATGTGTTTCACCATGTGTTTCACCATGTGTTTCACCATGTGTTTCACCATGTGTTTCACCATGTGTTTCACCATGTGTTTCACCATGTGTTTCACCATGTGTTTCACCATGTGTTTCACCATGTGTTTCACCATGTGTTTCACCATATGTTTCACCATATGTTTCACCATATGTTTCACCATATGTTTCACCATATGTTTCACCATATGTTTCACCATATGTTTCACCATATGTTTCACCATATGTTTCACCATATGTTTCACCATATGTTTCACCATATGTTTCACCATATGTGTTTCACCATGTTTTCACCATATGTTTCACCATATGTTTCACCATATGTTTCACCATATGTTTCACCATGTGTTTCACCATGTGTTTCACCATATGTTTCACCATATGTTTCACCATATGTTTCACCATATGTTTCACCATATGTTTCACCATATGTTTCACCATATGTTTCACCATATGTTTCACCATATGTTTCACCATATGTTTCACCATATGTTTCACCATGTTTCACTCATCAGACTCTTCAACGACACTTTCGGACCGTCTCCGTTTCGCCATTGGTTCCAGGCTGGAGGTGTATTTGATCACCAAAAGCGATGACAGGTTGACCACCTCGGTACCGATGATCCCCACGGGCCCCACACCGGGGGGGGTGCCATCCCTGCCGGGTCAGCTCCCAGGTCACCGGGAAAGTCGGGTTTCTTGGGGCGCCCAGCGATTCCGATGGTACCAGAAGCCAACAACAAATGCAACTGGCGGCCGCTTTTTGGTGCCCAGAAAAGCTACACAAACTTTTGGTTTACAGAGAGATGTGAATGTATTTCATGATTTTGCAGATGCACACCCACATATGTACTGTACTTTTATGTATATGAGTCATATGTATATACCTATAGACGTTTTCTGTCCCAATCTATCTATTCGTTGACTTTTCTATTTATATACCTTTCTGTTGCGTGTGGAATTATGTCGATGTACATGCACATTGTGGGAGATACTCCAGGTGCTATCTGCGCGCCTGGGTGCAAAGCAACCAAACCTGCTGGCGCTGAATGATCCCTGGCCACTCGATTGCCATGGACGTCAGCAAGCAACACCTAAGGGGCGCCCATGGGCAAAAGGTCGATTTGGGCCTGTTGCACAAAGCAACCATATGCTTACAACTCCGAGAACATACAGTATCTATTGAATATGGCAAGGCCTTTCTACGTGCAGACCCCTGTCTTTCTCAGGGTCTTGCAACGTACTTGCACTCACCAATGGAACTCACTCGTTCTATCGAAAGATGGCACACACGAAATGGATCGAACTGGTCTACAATATCATCTAGGATGAACCCGGAAACCAGAAAGCGTGGGACAGTAAATGGCACGTCCAAGATAGAAGTTCCTCCACCCAAACATCCTGTCCAGAACATGCCAGACTATCTATATAGATTATATAGGCTATCTGTATCATCTGAACACATTTTTTTTCCTCCAGAAGGCCCTGACACCGTTCGCTTCCCATTCGATTCAACTCATCTGAAGCTTCCGACATTGCCACAGCCGGAGCCAGGTAATACCCTGCATCAAAGGCCTGATCTTTCGGATGTCGGTGCGAAAAAGCATTGGGGGCATTGGGATGTCGAGAGAAAACAGAAGTTCCTTCAACTTTTTTAAAGGCTCTCAATTGGAATACCTGGTTTTTTCGATCAAAAACTTCGGGAAGGAATCGGCAGGTACCATCAATTGGTTTCAAAGAAACAGCAAAGACAATAGTGTACATTTCTGAAGAGTTCAGCTCGGTGTAGGGACGCTCAGATCAAACAAACAGCCTGGGCAAGAAGTCCGTCTGCGTAGCGGTTCGTATTTTTTGAAGCTGTCTATCACATGGGGCTGGGGTGGGATGGGGCCATAATCTTCACTTGCGGCTGTCTTAAAATTTAGAGAGTGACGGGAAATAGAAAATCGAAAATGAAATTCCTCGGGTCTTCCACCACTTTTGGGGTTCATGTCAGTGTTCGGGCTGGGTCCGGTTCACCTCTATGACTAGTTTCCTCATCGATTGCTTTGTTTGTTCCGAGTACTTGCAGGTGATCCCAGCACAAGAACCCAAACCCATCTGAGTGAAGATCAGATGCTAATCCTTGAATCAAAATGAATCAAAGATCATTTTCCGCCCCCAGAAACGGCTTACTTCCTCACGACATCTCAGGCAACGAAGCGACATCGACATCTCAGGCTCCACACGTTAAAACCCAACTTCTGCAAGAAGAATTGCACTGCAGTGCACTGCATGACCTGCACAGCGCACCGCGGGTCAGTTTTCAGCGCCATTTTTCCACAAGTCATCTGCGCCGTGGCCTCAGCTGCCTGCGAAGCCGCCTGAATCACCAAACCTCGGTCCCGGATGTATCGTTGGAGTTTCTGTGTCTGCAGGCTGCAGGAAAACCCTATAGGTCCAGGTTAAAACCTTGCTTTCCTGGTGTAGATTGTCCCTTAAATCCATTAAATCTGAGGTGTTATTAGAGATGTATATGGATCTTGCGATTCAGAAGGTTCCGGCGCTTTGGGAAGTGACTCCTGTACAGGACCTTTCCACTCAAGAAGTGGGGATCTCCAAAAAATTGAGAATCACTGTTCATCACTGTGCTAGTGGGATTTTTATGGATTTTTTACTTTTCTATCTTTTTTGGTGCTTTTCAATCAAGTAAATGTCGATTTTCACGTGGAAGCCGAAAAAAAATGCGGGGGTCCCGATGAAAACATCGCCTGGAGATGGGCCAACTGGGCCATCCGTGCCCACAGAGTTGATGTTCGGCTGCTGAAGGGTGGCGAGAGCACTTCCACCTGGGGGCCCCGGATGGGCCATTCATGGCCCATCCGGGATGGGAAAATCCCCTTCGGTTTCTTCGGGATTTTGTGGCCATGAAAAGTCTGGTTGGTAAAGTTGGTGAAGTTTACGGGGAATCGATTACGATTCCCCCCTTCTTAATGATTATGATCATCCCCAGGTAAAAAATGGGTAGTATACTCTCCTATCGACCAGGGTTTTGAACACTGCGAACAACTGTTTGGTGAAGTCCCAAGAGTTGCATATGAGATCACCAAAATTTGACAGAATCATCAGCATGGATCTTTAAAAAAATGGCTTGTGATACTCCCCAAGACCTTGGGTATACCCTCTGGTAATCAAACATGGATTGCTGGAAAGACCCTTACTTACTTCGATGATTTTCCCAGCTATAAAGCACGATTTATCGGGGATTTCGCAGCTAACCACGTTTGACTACCGGAAGCTAAATGGTTTAGAACTCCCATGGTTGATTGTTAAATGTCATTCAATCCCCATTTATACCACATTAAATCCCACTAAACCGCATTAAATCCCATGAAATCTCCATGTATATCCTATAAAATCCCAGCAAAATCATGGCTTTTGACCATCCCTTCGCTCTCGAAATCCAGACCACAAGCCCCGGCCCCAGGTCCCCGCACAGACCATGGTCAGCGCCAGGCTTGCCCCCAAAGGGCTGATTTTCTGCGGATCGGGGGCTGTTTCTACAGGTGTGGATGGCGATGTATTTGTAAATATTTGCATATGTGTTATGTTATGTATGTATATATGCATATCTGTATATATATATACATATATATAATTTTATAATATATATACATGTATCATGTATATGTATGTGCATACATACATGTTATTATTGTATCTAGTATGTGTATGATTCTGTGTATGTATGTATGTATGTATGTATGTATGTATGTATGTATGTATGTATGTATGTACGTATGTATGTATGTATGTATGTATGTATGTAACTATTTACGTATGCGCGTATGTGCGTACATGCGTATGTACTGCGTATGTACTGCGTATGTACGTTATGTACTGCGTATGTACGGCTGTCTGCCTGCCTGCCTGCCTGCTTGCCTGCCTGCCTGGCTGGCTGGCTGGCTGTCCGTCTGTCTGTCTGTCCGTCTGTCTGTCTGTCTGTGTCTCTGTGTGTGTGTTGTTCTATCTGAGTATGGCACCACCATCGGGCTCGCTGGCGGGTCAGATTGTCGGAAAATCGGAGAGCCGCAGCGCAAGTTACAAGAGGCCGAATAAGGAAAAACGTGTATGTGTGTGTGTGTATTAGTTGATCTCCTGTATGGTCAGCATGAAAATGACACTGTGACTGGAAAGAAAAAGAAAGGTGCGAATAAGACAGATCCCGGTCCCAACCGGCTGCAGGCTGCCTCAATCTTACACACCGAAAGCATAAAGAGAAGCAGAGCCGGTGTCCCAGCCTTGCATGGATGGGGGAGAGGTTGCCATAAAAACGGAAGGGAGAACTTTGAAAAGTCCATCGAAATTTGAGTGTTCGGCATTAAACAAAAAGAAAAAAACGACTTGAGAATTATCAAATGATCATTTCAAAACATGGACATCACGCACAAGTGGCGACAATCACCTAACCTGGAGTGTTCTCCGGGGATGGTATCCTACCAAAATAATCCGCTGTAGACAATGGAAACCAAGAAAACACTTGCCATGCACTCCACTTTGGGAGTTGGACTTTGAGCATAATCATGAATCATCTACTTTAATCTAGTATGTAGCTAGTTGCTACTTAGCATCCGGGAATATAATTCGATTATGAGTGGAATACCCGCCATAAAGGGACCGATTGTACTAACCGATCCAGTTACTAACTTGGACCCCGGTCGCCATGAAGACCTGCTGAGATCCCGCGCTTTCAACATCTGAATAAAGCCAGCATCCAAGTAGATGTAGGACATGTTGCCGAAGCTGGCCAAGCGAGCCGAGGTCGCACCAGTTGGAGGAATTTGATACTTTTTTTTCATGCTATGGAAAATCACCATTTTTAATGGGTAAATTCACTATAAATGGTCATTTTCAATAGCTATGTTAAATTACCAGAGGGTAAATTCTGCAAAAAAAGGAGGATCTCCCAAAATCATCCGCAGCTGCCGTCCCTTGATCGACACCATGGCTGCCATTTTGGTTGCTTTTCACTGCGGTTGAGCGCCAGACCACAAGCTTGCAGCGGTCAACACACCCACTGGAAAGGCCCGCCGAAGAGCAAATTCCAACCTCACAACGGGGAGAGGCCCGCGTGGATCTGCGACTTGCAAATCGCTTAGTGACTCGGGACCAGCCCATAGGGATCCTTAGATTCCGTCATGGGGGAGGCAACCCGCCATCCTCCAAAAAAAATCCAGACTTACCTGTGTAGATTTACCTGTGATAAAACTTACAAGCATCTAAACTTATCTAAAATGAAAATTTGTTTCGGGACCAATTGTTTTTGGCCGAAGTGATTTGAAATAGATACAATGATCAACTAGGGTGCGGCTCACAATGATCAACCTCAAAATCAATCGTTAAATATCAGACACAAGCAACTCTAATGCGTCCATTGGGGCCCATTAAAAACTTGAGTGAAAATGACGATGGAACCAACACGGCTGAAATCTTGTTGCTGGAACCAACGGGAACTCGGTAAAAATATCACCATGATTCATCCGTTGCCTCAATTCTTTAATGATCAAACCACTAGTTAACCCACTGGTGAGTTCCACTGATTGATTATATCAACAGAAACATCATAAGAACCATGTAAAAAATCCCCATGTTAGATCAATGATTGTTGGTTCATCCCCTCTATCCACATGATGTTGGTTGAAGATGGATAATGGTTCCCTCTGTTGGTTCATCCCCTCTATCATAAACATCATACAAGGTGGTGCCCCATAGTTAGCTAAGTTGGTTTATAACTCCAATAACTATGGTTTATGGTAGATATAACTATAGTTACTATAGTTAATGGGGCTTATAAACCAACTTATAACTGAGGGGCACCACATTGTAGAATCATTTTCAGTTCTTACATCCCCTTTTTGTTGGTTAAAGCACCCCCTTTTTGTTGCCCCGGAGATCTCCGGTGACGACTCAGGTGCCAACGGCGGCAAGTCCACCTCCGTCCTCTCGACCTGGATCACCATGGATCTCGCAGTGATAATATACGTATGTAATATAATATATATATATATATGAAATACATTTATGTATATTACATATGTGTAGTAGATACAGCTTTGAAGAACAAATGTACATATATATATATATATAATTGTATAATTATATATGTACAACTGTTCTTCAAAGCTGTATCTACTATCCACAGCGATCCACATCTATCTACTATCTCACCATGCATACAGCTTCTTTCGCCATTTTGTTAAACACCCAAACGTGCCTTGCCGATGAAGACCAGGAAGCGGGTAAACATCGCGGTGAACAGGGCACCCATCGACCTTTTTCGGCGAGGATTATCATTCAGGATCATGGTGGTTTAGCCAGGAATAGAACCCAGATTGAACATGATATGTGGGGATATTCCATGCTACATATACATACGCATATGTGCTGTAGCTTATGTACATATATACATAGATAGAGATCCAAGAAACTGGGTTCGTAAGCGAAGAAGATATATGTCAATGGATTGCTAGGGAAAAAAATGGCAGAGAACGCATGGCTTTGCCCTGCAACTCTGGGTTGGTTCCCATCAACCAAGTCTGGGAATATGGCCATGCTACGGGTGATATGTCTGTGGCGGAAACATCTCACGGTGCAAGGGCGAACTCATCTTTTTGGCAACCAAAAAAAAAAGATAGTTAAAGTTGAAGATAGAATTTACCACCAATTTTTTAAGGAAATTTTAGGATTGGATTTTGCACTGCTCCATCTGGGGGTTGCTGTACAGCTTCAGGCTTCCGGGCGAGACCAGGGCAGGGGCATGGAGACCGCTGTCACGAACAATGCCTCGCAGGGCCACCAGGAGACCGTCAACCAAATGAGCCATTGATAACATAGTTGTACCCTCTGGTAATTTAACATAGCTATGGAAAATCACCATTTTTAATGGGAAAACTCACTATAAATGGCCATTTTCAATAGCTATGTTAGTTTACCAGAGGGTAGCCAATCAACCAGGGTTTTGGTTCCAATGAGTTTCATCTAGTCTTATATACTACCTGCTTATTGGGGATCATATAAAATGTTTATATAGTTTTATATACTACCTGGTTATTGGGGATTAGATGGTCAATGATATGGGTTGTGTAATCCCCAATACCCAAGTAGCTTAGAACTCCTTGTAATACCCCATCGAAAGGGGTGTTTCTAATGGCTCAAATGATGGCTGAAGTAATGAAATCTCCTGAGCCACCAGGGCTTTGTACAATGGATGTCGCAAGTTTCCCGGCTCCGAGCTCAAAGGATGACCCCTGGCTCTGAGTCTTCGTGCACTTGTTCACAATCACGATCAGCAGCCCCGACATGACATAGGCGGCAATCGACAGGACCGACATCAAGCGCCTGCGGATGACCCTTGGAGCAAGTGCTGTCTGGCAGAGTACCAGTTGTATCTGGGGTTTATGTGGGGGCTATGTGCATGGCATACACAACTATACATTATATATATATATATATGCACGCACGCACATCTAGACTCCACCTGTGATGGGGCCCATCACAAACGAGTATTGGCCTTTCCAAGGGACCCTCTTGTCCAGACCAGCTTTTCCCCAGACATCTTGAAAAATCTGCAAGGTTTCAGAAGGTTTCACCATGGTTTCTAGATGGGCTTGTCTGCAAATAGGCCAAATAGGGTACCCGGGTGCCCCAAGATTTGATGGTTTATCATATGTTTTCCCAGTGAAACGGGACTTGATCAGCTGCAAAAAAAGCGAGCCCAGCATGTGGTGTTTTTTTTCACCTCACTGGCTAGAGGTCAAGTGGTCGAAGTAGCCAACATTACCCTCTAGTTTAGAGAAATGATTGTAAATTACCCAACATTATCCCTAAAGATTGGTCTAGTAATCTAACCTGGTTGGAAATGTCCTGACTTCTGAAAAAATGTTTGTTCCCCATATCTTTGCATCAAGAATATCACATTCCCAGCGAGGTTTTTGAACCCCAACCCCTGTGGCCCAAAAAAACCTCTGCATCTTTTCCTTCTGGAACGCAGGGTGCCGGCTCAGTGACCTCAGCAGTGGAGATGTGGGTTTCGAAGCGTCTCATCCAAATCAGGGAACTCTTCGAGTTTCGTTCCGTTAAATACCAGTTCTAAGTCAGTGACATAACCCCATTTATGGAATTATAAGCCTATTTATAACCATATATAACTATGTATCTCCAATTCTGCCGAAGGGATAGTTCCATCAGAAAGTGAAACCATATGAAACCATCAAGTTATACCCTCCAGTCGCACATGGCAATTGAAAATCCCCGAACCAAAAAGAAATGGAGGATTTCATCGAAAAATCCACGAAAATGGTGGATGTTCCAGGTTTGATTTTCAGAGGCTAATGCCCCTCGTTCCGTTCTTCGTCCAGCTGTCCCTCTGTGCACCCGCGCCACTCACCCCTTGGCAGCTCGAAATATGCATCAGCTGACTGTTCCCAACTCTTCAAACTTCACCAATCAATGGATTTGAGGTGAAACTTCCAGAAAACCCATGAGTTTTCACCCCCAACTACGACTCTTTCCCATAAAATATCCTTTTAACAAGATCTTGGGAAAAGCCCATGCCCGTGACCTGGTGAAATCTTTGGTGAAATCTATATCTACCCCTGGTTGCTGCAAGGACTAGGACCAACCTTTGGAGCCCGACTTCGTATCCACATCTTCAAGACCCTCCTCGAGCAGCGGCACCAGGCTGGGTCACCCATGGCGATGCATGGGATGCAGACTTTCAGTGAAAATAAGGTCAAAAAGGATCGTCAATAGAAGGGAAAGTAGCGATAAATCATGAGGTATACTTGAGGACGTACCCTCCTGGGAGAATTAAACCTGGCACTGAAGAAGAAACATCAAAAGATCAATTTATATATATATATATAATAAATGTGTTTTATGTTATATATATATATTACACATATGTGTGTAATATATATATATTACTTATATATATATATGTAATATATACATATATATATATATATTACTTATATATATATATACATATCATATACTATATATTATATATTACATATTATATATTATATATTATATATAATATATTATATATTATATATTATATATAATATATTATATATTATATTATATATATAATATATAATATATTATATTATATATATATATTATTGTATTATATATTTATAGATTATATATTATATATTAGATATTAGATATTATATTATATATATTATAGATGATATATTATATATTATCTATTATATATTATATATTATATATTATACTATACTATACTATATTATATTATATTATATTTTATATATATATATATATATATCAAATTATATATGTTGTATATTATATTACATTACATCATATTATGTTATATTATATTATATCATATCATATTGTAATATATTATATTATACTATATTATATTATATTATATTGAAATATATTATATTATATTATAATATAATATTATATTATATTATATTATATATATTATATTATATTATATTATATTGTATATATATTATTTTATAATTATAATTATAGTTATAACTATATTTAATTATAATTATAATTATATTGTATTATTCTATGTAATGTTATATTATATTATATGATATTATATTATATGTTATTTTATTATATTATATTGTATTATTCATAGGGAGCTGATGCGGGTCTGCTGGGTCAGACCCCGCTACTCTCACTGGTTTTGACTGACAGAATCCCCAACCGATGGGTGTCCATCCTGTGGATGGACATATGGTACAGTTCCAAGGCATGAAACATTGTAAAATGCCAACAAAACAGGGTCAGACCCCCCTCCTCTCAACTGCTCTTAACCGCTCTAAAGCCTTTGGGTACAACTGTTAAGAGTGGTTAAGAGCTGTATGTATACATATGTATGTTATATTTGTTTGAAGCTTGTGAATGGGTATTTCCCAAAAGATACAGTCATAGGCTGGCTGAATTGCGTTGGAGACCCACCCGCCAAATCAAACAGATCAAAAATCGCGTGCAACGACGTGGCAGCATATCCAACAAGATGGAGGCTCCATCTCATCTCTCTCATCAGTAGCACTAAAATGGGTTTAATGTTTAGATTTTGCCAAAGCTTCCCACATGACCTATGACCACTTTTTTCGCAACCCTGATGCTTGTTGGTGCAATCACTTAAATCCCCCTTATTCATGGTTCAACCCTCCATTTTTGCTAAACCTGAGTAGGGTACTGTCCCCTTTGGCGCAAAAAAAACTTGCCTTTGGAGAATCATTGCCAGCGTTCGCTATCTCAACATCCAGCTGGTTGTCACTTGCAGCCTGGGGTGTAAGCCATTAGAAAAACATGCCTTTGGAACCCCAAAAAATCCATTTGGAACCCTTGTAATCAAATTTTGGAACCCAAAACATTGATGGTTCTGATGGTTCTTCAACAATCGCATGGTTCTGCTCATGAAAAGTGTATATATAATTCATATAATTGCCATAAACTCATTTGTTTGAGAGGAAACTCAAGTGTCACAGCGTATTGACCAATGGCCACAGCTTTTCGGACCTTTTTGAAAGGTGCCTATGCTCCACTGAGGAAAGTACACTCGGAGAGCAACACGAAAACATGGCTCTGAAAGGACAGCGACTGGTTTTGAATCTAATATCTGTAATGGTTAATGTTAATGGTTAATGGTACCATTCAATGTCAAGATCTGCCACGATCTGCAGGACTGGTACCAAAAAAAACGTGCAACTTGCAGCATTCCCAGTGGAAATGGTCAACTCATCCCATGTCGATGGATCGGATGGTTTGATCCTGAATCTCATCAGCTTTCACTTTGACGCACAAGCTGAACGGCGCGAGCAGATGGAGTCATGGAAGGGCATGGCGAAACAATGGGGTGCCAAGGGAACCATGCAGACATGAGTCCAGTACTAAAGTCACTAAAGCCATTCAAAACCTTGTGGGAAATACCTTTTGCATCCTCAGCATGTTTATCCTCTATCACATACTGTATGACTGTATCACCTTTGTTAATGGCGCCAGGAGTCCACTCTTTCCAGGCTACCTAAGGTGGATCCAGGTGGCTCCCAACAAGTCATTGCAATGCCACGATGCCACAAGGGTTGTCCTGAATGCCCCTGTAGGCCAAGAAACTGTACCTGAGACTCGAGACGGCTTTGATCTGAAATATCTTGGGAAACTGAAGTCCATACCATGGTTTACAAGGAGATGGAGCACTACCACAGCGGTGTTTGATGGAATGAAATCAGAGGAAGACCAGGATCAGACCACTACTACAAAAGTCAAGAGTCAAAAGTATAACAAGAAGAACATCGAGAAGATAAGCAGTACCCAAACCCTTGTGCCACCCCTATTACTACATCATGCATTGTGCTACCCCCCCATCAATATAAGGGTGCTGCCCCAGCAGGGCTCCGGACGGACTTTCCTTCTCGCAAAGTCCATCGAAGAAGATGGGGAGCAGGTAGATGTAGTCCAAGCGTTCGGGTTCCACCTGCAGCCCATGTTTTTGAAACTAGGAAACTGATGGGTTCGTTTTATCAAATTTTGGTGAGATCATCAAAAAGCAATTCTGTGAAGTAACCTGGCCCCAAACTAAACGCGTGGGAGCCATTTTTGCTGGAGGCAGGAACCATCAAGGAACACCTTCGCCGAAATATGTGTAAATGGTGGCTGAAAGGACCAAAGATACGGCCAAGTGATTTTCAGTCTATGAGTTGACTTTTTTTTGAAGACCTGAGCCGGCTGCTAAGAGGATTGTTCACACCATAAAAACATGGCATAAAAGGTGCGCACCTCTATGTACGGAGCCACTTCAACCAGCTAGACCAAATCAAAGACTATTTTTTGCAATACTTTGTTGGTTGTAGTTGTGTATCATAATATATCATATCCTGGCCCAATATCTTTTGTCCCATCTGGTTATTTAACATAGCCATGGAAAATCACCATTTTTAATAGGTAAACCATCTATAAATGAACCATTTTCTATGGCTATGTTAAATAACCAGAGGGTACATTGTACAGTTTGCTTGGTACGCCGGTACGTCATCTCATATCATTCCACGGCAATGAATTGGATGTCAATCCTCCATTTTCAAAACCCAAAATCGTAGCACAACCATACACCCAAAATGGCTATTTCCATGATGTCCTCATAGCTGTTCTTTGACCCCATGTTTATCCCCATTAGAAGTCCCCATGTTCCCAAGGTTTTTTTCCAAGCCCCCCACGTTTATCCCATTTTTTCCCCATCTCCCCAGGGTTTTGTTGGGGTGATTGGGGTGACCATCCCCCCGAAACGCCGGGCCGGACCCGGCACCTTCCAATCGATGCTCGGGGAGGTGCCATGGTGCACCGAGATGGGCAAGTCGCTGCGCTCGTAGAAGCGTCGGAACCTCGGAAGTTCAGTGGTCACCGCTGTGAGTCACGTGTGGCTAGGGATTGATGATACTATCATAGGTATAATATGATAATAACAATAATGATGATAATAATGATAATGATCATTATGATGATAATGATGATCATTATGATGATGATCATAATAATGATGATGATGATAATGATGATGCGAATGATGATGCGAATGATGATAATATTGATAATAATAATGATGATGATCATCATGATGATAATGATAATCATGATAATGATAATGATAATAATAATAATAATAATGGTGATGATCATCATGATGATACTGATTATAATGATGATAATGATGATGATAATGATGATAATGATAATGATAATAATAATAATGGTGATGATCATCATGATGATACTGATGATAATGATGATGATGATAATGATGATGATAATGATGATAATGATGATGATGATAATGATGATGATAATGATGATGATCATTATGATGATAATAATGATGATGATCATAATGATGATGATCATAATGATGATGATCGTAATGATGATGATCATAATGATGATGATCATAATGATTATGATGATGATGATGATGATAATGATGATAATATGATTATAATATAAAGTGATAGTAGTAACATGATGCTAATACAGTGATGATGATGATGATGAGGAGGAGGAGGATGAGGAGGATAGTAATATCATATTTTGGTAATATCTGATAGTGATCATAGCGATATTAGTGAGAATAGTGATAATGGCAATGATAAGGGTGAAGCAGCCAGCGATAATGACAAGATCTTGACGAGCTTCGTATGTTTTGGTAGGTAATCAAATTGCACATTCAAGTATAAGGGATAACCAACTTTCTCAATAAGGGTTATTTGTTTGTGTAGGGATTAACCACCTATCATCGAGAGGGTGAACTGGGCTTGGTTGAATGTGAGCTTTTACCTTCATAAATAGGGGGGGGTAGTCATCAAAAAATACTGGCTTTGACATGCTGATGCAACTGGTTCGTGGTTGATGTGGTGGGTAAAATGCAGATGTTTGCCATTCTGTTTTCCTGTTGGCAAAAATTGGTGAACCTGAAATTCTCTTTTGCCCCATGAATTTGGTTGGGAAAATCATGATTTGGTCAAAATGACTTATGTTTCGGCTTTGTTTGAGAGTTTTTGGGAATTGGGAATGGCATCCATCGGTTTACGCCAAGCAACCAACAAAGATGGATATATCAAGGAAGTAGATAAATGGAAAGCAAAATGAAAGAAGGGGAGACTGATGATGGCTCGTAACCAACAACAAGTGGATATTTTGCCGGAGGTATTCCTACCAACTCCAAATCAACAAATATACACCAGATATATCTAGGTGTACACTGTATATATAGATGCCATGGCTTTTCGTCAACATCCCTTGCGATGAACCGTTCACGAAGGTCGGCAAACTGATGATGTTGGGACTCCCCAATCTGAAGATACGACTGTTGTATTACTAGAAGTGATGGTCATGACGATTACCCTCTGGTAATTTAACATAGCGATTGAAAATGGTGATTTATAGTGGATGTTCTCATTAAAAATGGTGATTTTCCATAGTTATGTTAGTTTACCAGAGGGTATATATACAATTATCATCAATTACCATTATCACATTCCAGTGATTTGCAAAAAACAAGGGAATCAAGCCCTGATTTTCCTGGGTTCCCTTAGTATCCTTAGAATCGACTCTAAGCTGCCATCTGATGGGTCGTATCCCCCAAACCCCAACAGTTCACCGACAACGCGCTGAGCATATCTGACTGGGTGGCTGGATGTTCAGCTGCCTCGCAAAGCCGCTTCGCCCACGCAACTTTTTAGGGCTTTCAAAGGATATTGGTTCAAGAGAATTAAATCCCCACCGTTATAAACTTTATATTCAAGGGAATGTTCAAGGAGTTTAGGACATAATTAGGGTTTAGGATTGATGATGATGATGATGATGATGATGATGATGATGATGATGTAACATTCAACGCACAGGTGCTAAGCATTGCATTGCAAGATGAAAGCCATGATGGACATGTGCATTTTGTCCCACAAAGCACGTCGTGCCATTTGATCTTCGGACACGTCGTGGACGTCGGCGGATATCTGTGGAGCCGGGCACCGAATCTCCCACCGTAACGGCGCCTCGAAGGTCTTGCTCTTATCAGTGATATGCTTTGGCAGGTTCTTCTTGAACACGCCTGACCACAAAAAGGACCGATTTGTGGAGGACCTATTTTGTGCCAGTTGGGCAGGTTGTATAGATGTTTGATGGCACCAAAGAAAACTTGGATCTGGCTTGCTAGTGGAAAGGAAAAACACTGTGACCAACATGGGTGGATCAAAACGCTGTGAATCTATATGTTGCGGATTTGAACAGCTACCCATCTTTGGGGGTGTGGAGATGAACATGGTCCCGCCATGGTCAAAGTATGCTGTCCATAAAACAAATAAGACCATCCCACCCTGATTTTTTCAATCCTTATGTCAATTATAGTTCCCTGTTCATGGTACTATGCTGGTATGATCATTAAAAAAAAACTCTGTGGTAGTATGTTCACCATCATACCACCATCAAAAAACAGTCTTGTTCATGCTACTGTTGATGGAAGAAATCCTGCACCACCTTGGATGGTTGAAACCCTATAAATAGTGGGATAAACATGGATAAACCATCTATCAACTGGTGCAGGATTTCTTCCATCCACAGTAACATGTTCATGCTAGTATGGTGCTATGTCATTCTCCATCCAACCGCTGGCCTAAAAAAAAAGCCCCGCGATTCACCACTCGACGAAAGCGTGCCTGATTTCTTGGGGCCTGTGCCCCAACAGCCTTGAGCCACCTGGCAATGGATCAAGCGAGATCGAAGATTTCGTGAGGTGATGCAGCGATGCACTCAATCCTGAACTCCGTTATTTAAGAAGAACCTGTAAATAGAAAACTATATTGTAGCATATATATATATATAACCATAAAACTATAGTGATATATAACCATCAAGATGTTCCTTTTCTCTTTGTGAGGGTTGCCTCAAATGGAAAAAAAAATTGTAGCAACCTGCATGTAAGATTGAAAAGTGGGAAACCTGGAAAGAAGTGATAAATTTCATCTATACCCTCCTGGAAACATTGTTTGACCTTTTTGTAGGTTGTTGTAAACTAAATTATGTAACCATCCTAATGGGGAGAATGTTGACTGACCATTAAGTTTTGAATGTACCCTAGTTTCGGACAGACCCAGATTCAGTTTGTCTAGCCTAAACCCCTCTCAGAAGCCATGTCCACTAAAAACATCGCTTTAGGAACCCAATGTTCAAGACTATCAACCGCCAATAATTCGACACATTGACCACATTGACGAAATCTTGGAGGCTCGTGTAAGAATGGTAAGAAAGTCGCCCAATTGATGGGTCTCCGCCGGGCTCACCATGCGGCCGTTGAGCTTCCCATCCACCTCGAGACGTGGTCATTTTTAGGGGGGGAAAATGGGGGATTGACCTGACCCCCATGGAGGTTAGCAAAAAGTCATGGGCTACCCCGGATTTTCATCCAGCTGTTGCGGGATTTTCCATTGTACCCTCTGGTAAACAGCCACATAACTATGGAAAATCACCATTTTTCATGGGAAAATTCACTATAAATGGCCATTTTCAATAGCTATGTTAAATTACCAGAGGGTAAATCATCCAGCTATTGGGGTACCCAGAAATTCATGAAAACCCTTCCAAAGGGCCATCAATTGCAATAGGGAAACTGTTCCGTTGGGGACGCAGAAAAGTGCGCAGAGTCGCAGGATCAATCGTGACGCGACGCAGCTAGCATGGTGAAATGATCCAGAATCTGTCAAGATTCTAAAACAAAGAAATGTAGAATGATGGCATGGTGCAAACGCATATGCAAAGCACATAGCTAGAATCTAGAGTCTGTAGCTGGATGATGCTGGATGTTCATGTCACCCATTCTCTGGCTAAATCAGAATGATTCCCCAACCTCAAAAGGTCGATCATTTTGGGATGATTCCCCCGCGCCACTCACCATTTCTAGCAACATCATGGCAGGGTCGTTACAAGTTCGCCGGCCCCTTGATATCTTTGTAGCCTACCCTGGTTGATCAGTAGTGATCAGTTGCTACTCAAACGGAACACTCGCATCATCAGCCTGGGGGTTTAACAAATTCCACCCACCATGCCATACCTGAGGTTCTGACTGGACTTAGTGCCATCACACCGCTGCACATCAGAGCCTCAAATGGCATAGAGGCACAGGTGCAGCGGAAGGGAGTTGAATAACTTGGTTCAAACGAACAGGTGAAATTGCCACAAGAGGTGTGAATTCTGGAATTCTGGCAAGAAAAATCCGGGAGTTCACGGAGCAACACTGCAGCACTGCGCCTGGCTTTGCTGATGAGCTGTACCTCGTTTTCGGGTGTCAGGAAGACCCAGCTGGAAGGGACAAGGTAAAGACTGCACCATGACCAAAGAATCCCTAGGGCCCACACCTGTCCTGCCCAGCGGCCTAGAGATGCCGTTGCAACAATCGCTTGGCGGGATACCCTTCATGTTGGTGATGGTGATGGTGATGACGAGGAGGAGGAGGAGGAGGAGAATGATGCTGGTGCTGGTGCTGCTGGAGGAGGTGATGATGATGATGAAGAAGAAGAAGAAATCAGAGACTATTTCGCTGCTCGAATCAACTTCAGCAGCAATGGAACACACATCCTGAACAATTTCAGCAACCCGGTGTTTTTTATTCCTTTTTGTGGCTATTTCCTCTTCAAGATTGGTTCATATCTTGTTCTGTCCATACTTCAGAATCACCAACACCCCTTGGTTCTTAGCTCAAAACCAGCAAAAACATCGATTCGTCCACGCTTCAAATTCAATCAAAATCAGAAAAAAATGGTTGGTCCCCCAGATTATACATGTTTTTTGCACTAAAATTGGCCCAAGAAATCACACCTCAAGGTGGGCGCCGAGGTGGACTTCACGATAGCTGTGGACCTTAGAGGCATTTGGGAAGATTCCCATGGGAAAACGGGGGGTTTAAACATGGAAAATTGAGGATTTTCAATAGAAAATGATGGCTTCAACCATGGAAAATGATTTGAGCTAAAAAATGGTTTCATGGATCGATTTCTGAGAAAATCTACTAAGGGAAAGAATGCTGGTAGGTTTTCTGGTAGATGTTCCAGCAAACCAATTCCGGGATCTTGGCCAAGTCCCTAAAGGTGTTGGTGATGTTTCATCTAAGGGTGTTTTTTCCCAAACTCAGGCCGCCTGAAAGCCAACTTCCAGTCGGCACGTCTGATTCCCAATCATATCTAATTCCCTCACATGTGTGCTCCAAACTGACTACATAGATCTATTGGAATTGATGTTATAGAAGTTTAGTGGAAAGGGATTTTGTTTCTCATATTTATTATCTATAATTACATATGTGTATGAAACATATGGGTAAATGATGATTTACCAAATCCATTTGGGGATTCTCCCAATCTTCTCCCCTTCCCACTGAGTCTTCCGCAGGGCTTGATAGCCCAGGGGCGCCTTGGACGATTGAGAAAATTCCGATGTCGGAGCGGTTTTTTTGGGCAGGTTTTTCCCCAAATCTTGTACCCTCTGGTAATTTAACATAGCTATTGAATATGGCCATTTATAGTGAGTTTTCCCATTAAAAATGGTGATTTTCCATAGTTATGTTAGTTTACCAGAGTAAAATGTAGAACTAATGGATAGAATGGATAAATAGAATGTATCATTCATTTCCATCCTCTGATAAATGGAAGGAATGGAATGAACTGTACAACGATAAAAGACTGAATGGATGAAATATGTCTCAATCTCATAATGGGCGTAGAACTAACAATAATGGATGAAGAATGGATAGATGGAACAATGCGGGCAACCCAATGCATAACCGATCATGACTGGGGCATGGTTTATATTTGTATACCACCCATAAAAATGATCATTTTGGGGATGGTTCACGGCATTGGGTTGACAACACTAATACAAATCGGGGAATTATTGAACAAACTGGCTAATGCAAAAGTAATCAAAAGTATATTTATTTGTTATCTCTAGTCTCGTGAACTATGCGAAAAAGTAGTGTTTCGATCCGTTTGAACCAGAACAATCGACAAACATGCCATAACCAGAAGAATCTATATATATATATCAAACAAATTAGGTGATAGAAGAACAGACCAATTCAACCAACCTAAGCCCTACGTGCAGAAACTGATGCCCCGCCATACAGCGCCAAACCAAGCCCCCGACGGATTTCGACCCTGACGTCTGCATGGCGACTGTTGGAGACCACCACTTTTTGGGCAGTCGATTAGAGCAGCACCGTTTCGGTGCGAATCAGAAGAAAAAGAAGCGCCGCGGTTCCTCCGCGGAAAATGACAGGGGCGCAGAAACCCCCTGAAATGATCCTGAAAACCAAAAATTTCATGCTGACCTGGCGAATTTCTTTGGTGCTGTGCTGAATGTCCCAAGAAATGTGTGCTGACTGGAGCCAGGACGGAGCAGGATGACAAAAGGAGAGTGTCCACCCCCCCGTTCAATACCCTCTGGTAAACTAACATAACTATGGAAAATCACCATTTTCAATGGGAAAATCCACTATAAATGGTCATTTTCAATAGCTATGTTAAATTACCAGAGGGTACTCCATGGTGGATGTCAAGTCTGATGGTGACATGGACTCCGACCATGCCACATCTCAAGTGGTGTTGTCGCACTTTTTCTCCAGCATCTTCGCATCTGGACGTGTCTCAGAGACCAAGTCTCACAACCACCAAGTCACGTGCAGTCTCTATGAGAAGTTCTTTTGGAGCTGTCTACAACATGGGATTCACACCAAATGCACTGGTTAATCACACTCAATCTTCCCACTTGGCCTGTGGATCGAGACAAAACCCCCCTGTACAGGGCGAACTAACGAGCCGGAGCAAAAGCTAAAGCTGTACACCAATCCTCCAATCAAAGAATGAAGTGCCCTGCAGAAATCAAAACTGCCTAGCTGGAAAATCTGCCACTTATTTCCATTCATTTATCCTCCGCTGATCAAAGATTGCCAATATCATAAATGGGCAGTTAGGTTGGAAAATCATCGGTTAATGGATGATTTCCCATTACCATGGTTGGTTACCAAAGGGTATATATAGACAATTTTACTGATGAAAACTTAGGGACTCTCCACTTCCAAAGAGTACAGCCAGCTGCTGGATGTGGCCACGCTCAAGCTTCAGCAACCTAAGCAACAAAACGCTGCCATGTTAAACCCAATTGTCATCAGGCAACAAATTGGTGCACCCACACCCTTCACCAAAATCTTCGAGTTTTGGTGGTGTCAACCAGTGAAACATTCTTCAATGGAAAATTGGTGAAAAATGGCGGCGATTCACGATATCCCCGGAATGCCAGAGGATACAGAAAGCACCAAGCGGCTGGCGTCCGACAAGAGGGTACTGTACTACAAAAAAAGAATTATCAGGCCATAATTTTCTCACTGAAATGGCTATGAGTCAAAACCCTTGTACCCCTAGTGAACCCTAAAATAGCTGGTAAATGGATGTTCATCCCCAAAAAAATGTATTTATAGGTACTGATACATCCCCAAATGTCAATCTTGGGGAATCTTGGAACATCCCTTAATCTTGGACCGGCGTGTCGCTGACACGTCCTCCCTGTCTTATCCACGCCTGGTACTTGCCCTCCGCAGCATCCCTGGCTAAATGTTGACATTTCTATGGCTCAAAAATGGGGTTCTCCTGGATTCAAAGCCGAACAAACTTCGCTTCAGCCACAAAGGAGTAGATATTTTCCAAAAGTATATCTTTCCAAGATTGGAGGCACTATTTTTCTTGACGAGTACATTCCACCCTTTGGCAATACCAAAACATGAATCGATATCTCAAACTTGGGAACGCAAAAATCCACGATATTGGTCGTGATTTTTCGTAGTGAAAAACCACATGTTTCCGGCCTGTTCCGATGTTCGGAGGAACCCAAATAGTTTGCAACTAATTTCTTACCAGTTGCTGCTGGTTGTATGTCGTATCATTTCACAAATGTGAGACTCCCGTTTTTCTGTCTTGCTGGCAATGGCAATCTCCATGTCAGTTACTTACATCACCTTCTACCCCACTTAGTGTCATCCAAGAATTGCCAGTAATTTCGCAAGAAATGCAGCAATTATCCCACCATCCCAAGAAATACCACTGACTTTCCAAGAAAAACATCATCCTTCCATCATCATCTGGGTTTGTCTGGGCCAAAAAAAAAGTGAAAGTCATGGTTAATCATACTTTCCCCTGCCATATGTTTTGCATGGGGGTTTAATCCCCCCATTTTCAGACACGCCCAAAATCCTCTAAATGTGGCTAAGTCGGCTAAGTATCCCATATGTGTCCCCAAAAAAAATGTTTGGTGTAGCTCCATTTCTGTTGCTGAAATCCCCAAATCATATCAGATCAAGTTTGGCGATATACATATATATATATTATAGATATTGTATAGATATATCATATAGATATTATATTATATATATTATATATAATATATATAGATATAGATATCATTATATGTATATTATATCTATATTACATAATGATATTACATTATAGTATATAGTATATTATATTATATCATGTTATGTTATGTTACCTTGTATTATATCATGTTATGTTATATTATATGATTTTATATATATATCATATTATTTGTTATATTTTATAATATCATATATATATACATATATATATATACAACTACCTTATTATATATCAATTATATATAATTATAGAATATTACCTGTCCATTTCTGCTTGGTTTCATCCCATTCTCAGCTCCCGCCTCAATCTGCCCAGCACCTCCTCCTTTCCGATGGCCCAAATCACCTCGAAGAGGCTGGGCGAGGCCGTGGACCCCGTGAGCCTTGGCGACGGCAGCGGCAGATCTGAACGCTGGTATCCGGAAGAAAATAGTATGTATCATCCCCTATATCGTATAATATGTTATATATATAGAGATAGATATATGATGTATGTACATTAATATATATATATATATACATACATACATACATATATGTAGAATAATACTTCGATAATCCAGCTTCCAATTCCGGTCGCCAAGGGACGCTGCCCGCACGGGTTTCGCAAAGGCGCCCAGCTTCATCTCGCGAGCTGCGACCAGGCCTGGGGCCACTGGGCTGGCTTTGCCCAAGTCGAAACCAAGGTTTTTTAACCCGAATATAGGAGATATCTATATATATATATATGTATATATGTGTATTATATATCTATATATTATATTATAGATCCATACATATATATATATGCATTAATATATATATATATATTAGTGTCTTGTTGCATTGATTCTAGTTTTGGGTGAGTGCCACAGTGTCGTGAGATGGGAAGTCCGTCAAAAGGCCTGGCCTTTGATGTAGGTCTCCAGGGTTTCAGGAGTCCATTCTCCCTGGTACTTCCTGGGTACGACCAGGGTCCATCAAACGGTGGCGGTTTCGTGTGAGGTGGTGAAGCTTCTTTGACCTATGTCAACTTTCTGGATAATTTCAGCATTTAGCAGCAAAATGCTGAAAGTCAGCCAAATCCTGGGCCGTATCCTTCATCAAAGCGGTCTTGAGGTTAAAGTAAAGATTCAAGATGCCTCCAATGCCAAGATTGCATTCGGTGGCAAGAAGGGTGGCTCAAAGTTGATCGATCCCCGACAGATCTCCAATTGTCTATCTAGAATCTAGACATCGTTTCCTCTCGAAAAAAAAAACAAACTCCTGTGGCGGAATGAGTGGGCGCGGGTTCTTTTGGATACTACCACTAAAATGAGGCTATTTATTCTTGAAATGACCAATCCCGTCTGCGGTTAACACTACCGAACTTTTGTCACTTGAAGCTTTTCATCTTGCTTGGTGAATTATCTATCTACACTCCCCAGGAGAGTATCTCTATCTATCTATCGATCTATCTATCTGTCTGCCTGCCTGCCTGCCTGCCTGTCTGCCTGTCTGTCTATCTATCTATCTATCTATCTATCTCTCTCTCTCTCTCTGTCTCTCTGTCTGTCTGCCTGCCTGCCTGTCTGTCTGTCTGTCTGTCTCTCTATCTCTCTGTCTGTCTGTCTCTCTATCTCTCTGTCTCTCTGTCTGTCTGCCTGCCTGCCTGTCTGTCTGTCTGTCTGTCTCTCTATCTCTCTGTCTGTCTGTCTCTCTATCTCTCTGTCTGTCTATCTATCTATCTATCTGTCTGTCTGTCTATCTATCTGTCTGTCTGTCTATCTATCTATCCATCCATCTATCGATATAATATATATATGTGTACGTGTATATGTATATAATATATATATATATATCACACTGAAATACCAAAACCCATCCTTTACACTTTACATCAAACTGTCCTATTATGGTCGGCTGAAACTTTGCTTCGGCTGGCTAAGTTCAGAATTGTTCAATGATTGCTTACATTTTCATTGCCAGTGAAGTAAAGGGAAAGTGGTCGAGAGAGTGCCGTGCTCTTTGACCAGCTGTCGCAAGTCCAAGAATCTGAAGATCTTCCACCACGCTGAGTAGATGTGGGGCGGCCGCTGCGCCCAAATCTTTTGCCTTAAGTGCTGGAGGTCGGGTGAACAACTGGTGGGCTCAAAAAAATGGATTTAGCCAAGCAAAACATGAATTCAGCCAATAACTGGTTGGTGACGCTTAAAAATTTAGCCTCTGGGAATCAATCATGGAAGAGCTCATCGTGAGATTAGATTCTCGGAGGGTAGCCGCTGAAGCCATGATGGGCCTCTGGCAGAACTCACTACATCTACAATATCTATCTATCTAATCTGTCTGTCTGTCTGTCTGTCTATCTCTCTCTCTCTCTCTCTGTCCGTCTGTCTGCCTGTCTGTCTATCCATCTCTCCATCTCTCCATCTATCCACCTATCCATCCATCTATCCATCCATCTATCCATTCCATCTATCCACCTATCCATCTACCCACCTATCCATCTATCCACCTATCTATCTATCCATCTATCCATCCATCCACTTATCCATCTATCCACCTATCCATCTATCCATCTATCTATCCATCTTTCCATCTATCCATCCATCCATCCATCCATCCATCTATCCATCTATCCACCTATCTATCTATCCATCTATCTATCCATCTTTCCATCTATCTATCCATCTATCTCTCTATCTATCCATCTATCTATCCATCTATCTATCAATTTATCTATCCATATATCTGTCCATATATCTATCTATAGATCTAGTACCTTTTTAAAATGGCCCTATCATATAAGTGATTTCTGAGGCTGTAACCCATTCCCTAAATAATGTGAACTATCCTCAACATGAATAGATTCAATACACAACAGGAGTGTTGTTTGGGGTGTGTTTAACATTATGTGGAAGCGATTCAATCCAGATATGAGTTTGTCTAGAATGGGGGTGCCTTTCTAGTGGTGAAAAGCGGCGATCAAGCATCAGTTTTGGGGCATGAGCTCTCCAGGGTCTGTTGTTTCCCGAAGCAGGAGTGGATTGTTGCAGTCGGGAGCCAAGTCGCAGCAGCTTTGGACACTTCCAACGGCCGTTTGGCCATAAAGAAATCCCCGGCCTCAACAATCCAGGAAGGGCAAGTCATTGACACTATCCGATTTTGTGGTGAAACAATCCGTAATAAATGATAACAAAAAAAATATAGAAAGAGGTTATTTATATACATTTACTTCAGATTTCCAGGTTTCTCCCTTTTCTATTTTTTTTTGGTGTTGCTATAAATTGTTTTTTTTACGATCGGATTTCATTTCTAGCGCTTTGGGGTTGCTAGAAGTTTGCGGCGAAAACATCACCTTGTCTAGTTTTGTGTGTTAGATCCCCATCCAACTTGCGCAGTCAATGATTTTCAGCCACTCTTATGTGTTTCTTCACTTTTGACTGGCTCGGCACTCGGATTTGTTCCAGCATATTTTGTGACAATTTTCCCATTCCTTCCGTCAACAGCATGAACGCATGAACATATCATGGCCAACCTTAGCCATGTCGCAAACAAGCTTGTCGGAAAATCTAATGTTCATTCCACCAGCCGTTTACGTCGCCAAAGAAAAAACCACCAAATGTTACCCAAGAGAAACCCATCACGAGCGCCTGCTTGTATTCGATGAGGGTCTTTGCCCGGACCTTCAGGATGTTCGCGATGCGCTCATCCCGGAACTTTGCTGCGAAGGCTTTGACCTCCATGCCATGGGTTGCAGATCATGTTCCACTCCTGGGATCAAAACTGTCACCATTCTCGAAAATTAAAACGTGCGCTGATAGCGGACCAGATGTTTTTAATGATTTTTATTTCAACAATTCTTCATTGATTTGTTTAAAACTGTGGCGCCGTGACGGTTTTGTTGTTTTGCCTCGAATTAGACATGGTGTCTTCGTCCCACGTTACGCTAGGAAATTATTCTTTGATCATTGAATTCTATTGGGCTAAATAATTTGCAAATGTGGATTTGGAAAACGGAATGAAAGACGGCGTTTTGTCCTCTTCTTTTTCTCTCTTCATGAGTTCAGCGTCTGCGTTTGTTAAACTTAGCTGCCAGTTTGGCGAGACTTCCTTTCAAGCCTGCCTTGTGGTTCCAACGATAGGCGAAGGGCCACACATACTGTTGGATTCTTTGAGAATCCTTTTTGGTAACCTTGTCTTTGCTATGGACGGAGAAGGGCACGAAGTGCTTCAGTTGGCGCCAGATCTGGTTTAGAAATTTCATGGGTCCGATGTAGGGCAAGCAAATTGATATGAAACTCTCAACTCTCAATGTCAACATTACACGCCTTACTTTACTCACCTGAAAATAGAAACACAAGAGACATGTTACATCGTACCCCTTGCCGCCCCCAACCCCACCCGGTTCCCCAAGAAAATCACACTATCCTTCGTGCACAACTTCTAAACTGACGTGCGCAACTTCTAACTGACGTGCACAGCTTCTAACTGACGGGCACAACTTCTAACTGACGTGCACAACTTCGACGTGCACAACTTCCAACTGACGTGCACAACTTCTAACTGACACTTCTAACTGACGAGCACAACTTCTAACTGACACTTCTAACTGACGGGCACAACTTCTAACTGACGTGAGCAACTTCTAACTGACCTGCACAGCTTCTTACTGACGTGCACACCTTCTAACTGAGGTGCACAACTTCTAACTGACAGGCAATGCCACAGCAAAAAAACTGCAAAACCTGCGGGTCCGTTAACAGCGCCGGTAGCTAAAACGGGGAGGTACCCTCTGTTAATTTACCAGAGGGTATCTCATGCAACAACCATCTCTTCTCAAGCAGACAGGAAATCATTTGGGAGGGTCGTCCTCTGATTGCCGATCCATTGGGGAAGAGTTTGTTCAAGGATTCCATGAAGGTCATATGTAAAACTCTATATATATATATATATGTATATGTATATGTATACATATATATATAATTATATACATATACATATATATATATATACATATATAATTATATATATAATTATATATATACATATATTTTTGTATATGTATATACAGATGTACAGTAAACAGTAGTGATCTACTGGAAAAAAAAAACAAGTTCCTTGATTCTTCTCCCGACGCCTGCCTCTGGAAAAAGCTTTACCACGATCTCGTACAGGCGTCCAGCGTCGGCCTCGGGTACAAGATATACTACGGTGATCTACAGTGGTTCAATTACTTGGGTTTGGGAGTCTTAGATTTGGCCTACAAATAAATATATATATATATATGTGCGTGTGTGTATTTATATATATATATTATAATTATGTATGTAAGTATGTATGCCTCATGCGCTCAGACGTTTGGATGACTGACCCTCACATGCAAGCTGCGGCTCGAAGCACTATAAATTAAAATTGAAGCATACAGATCTTAAATTCTTGAGTTGCTTGGCGCACAAGATTTGGGTATGGGTACCCAATGATTTTTGGGCATCCTTACCACCAAAGCATAGAATTCTCAGTACCGATTCTGACCCGCCCATGCCAAAAAATCAGCTCTACTGCCCTGGCACTACATCGGTGATCCTGAAGTTGACTGGGACATCAAAAAGTTGTTGAAACAACATGATACAACCATTATAACCAACATTATATGAGCATTTTTCGACTCAAAAGTTTTTCAACTGCAGTAAGCCACTTTTTTGGGGGGGATACGGGATACCCACCTGACCCACCTAGCCATTTGTGGAAACCGCAGAGACAACCAGCCGACCGACCCACCTCTTTGATGTAGTGCTGATTCAAAACATTCAACTTCTCAAAATCGAAACATGGAGCTCCTGGAAACAAAAAAAAATCGCCAATCCCCGCATGCAATGTACGTGTATAGATAAATAATTGTATATAGTATGTGTATATATGTATGTAGTATGTAGATGAGAGAGAGAGAGAGACGCCTCCACGAAATATGTTATTTATTGTATAGTCATTTACATCATTTACATAATTACTTCTCTATCTATATTTTATATTCTATATTATAGATACATGTATATATGTGTATATGTATCTATATAGATACAAACAGAGACAATATGTGTTTCTTGTTGTTTTCTATGCTATCATTGATAAAGCCCCCACGAGTCAGGGCCTCTCCTTTCGAGCACGCCGACAGCGTGAACCATTCCACTGCCTGGTGGCACTCAGCTACTGGGTGGCACTCAGCTACTGGGAAGCTCTTTGCCAAAGGAAGCACTACTACCTTGAGCAAGTCATCTCCATTGCCCTGTCATACAAGAGTTAAACGCTGTATTCGTATATTTTCCTGATTGAAAAACTCGCCCGACACGCACCAAGTAATCCAGAATATGATCACAATAGTGATCAAATAGGAATTGAATCCCTCAAATTGGATGAACACTGACTCTGACTTACGATCCTAACTAACCTCTCGAGGTAATAAATAATACCATCACCAACCTGTCCAGATTCTCTGCGTAGTAGATGCCTGATTTCCTGACGTTTAACACGCACCCAACAAATAAACACCACTGCCAACATCAACAAAATACCAACGCTACTTTTGACCTCCCAGTCTCTTTATGATGCAATGTGGTTTGTTCTGCCCAGTTATGTCATATAGTATTAATATATATATATATATATGTAATCAAGCGCAGCTGGAAAACAAAGACTACAAAGTGACCAAAAAGTGTTCAATCAAAGTAAGCCATTCGATCTCAATTCCAGACTTGCTCCCCTATTTTTGTGTCATAGAGTTGTTCATCTTTCCAGAAGGCTCAAGAGACAGGGATACTGATACCTGCAACTAACCTGGACATGGAAAATCGCAGAATATCACAGCTTATCTACCCATTCCATTAAAAAAATATGAAAAATCCGATTTGTTCCATGGAAAAAAATGGGATTTCCCAAACTGTTCAGTGGGATTCCACCGCCGTAGGCGCACCTGTTCGGTGCTAAAGATCTCATCATCACCATGAGACCAGGAGAGCCGAGCCAAGTAGTTCCGGATCGCTTCCGGCAGGTATCCTCCAGGGTCTCAATGCATTGGAAGGGAAATCTACGGTTGAAATCCCTGCTTTTCCCATCGAACATATGTCCGGGGTTCCGAACGCTTCCCTACAATCAAGTCTGAGCATGAACCAACATGTTTCCCAACTGAACAGTGGAACTGAAGCCTATTAAAAAACTGTTTAAATGGAGACGTGTTTTGATCTCCAACATATAAAGGGTAGCATCGGCCCCAAACAATCAATCTGTTGGGGTTGTTGAAACTCTGCCGCCAAGAAGCAGGATCAAGCCATGCCCAAGAGTGCAGATGATGTTGCATTGTTTCATATAACACAAATGACCCAGCTTTCATTCAACGAAACACTTTTGCTCTCAGAGAAAATCTTTCATCATTGTTTTGATCCAAACAAAAAAACGGTTTTCAGCCAAGTTGAGGACATTTTCCAGGCCCCCCATCTTGGAGGAAGCCAAGTAACCTTTAGCTTCGAACTCTTCTAGGCCAGTTGCCCCATGCCGCTTCCTGAGTTGAGGTAGACTATGAATTACATAAACAGTTATGGGTAATTAAGGGTTCATTCATGGTATTCATACCCTACTTAATGAATTCATAACAAATAATTATCCGTCAGTTGATTTCAACCATCTATCATTGATTTTTATCAACAATAGGTTTAACTCCCAGTAGTAATTCATAGGATATAGTTTTAGTTGTGAGAAAAACTTTTCTTAGATCACCAAGATGTGCTACGTACACCGGGAGGATTTAGTTGATATATCTTGGCCAACAGCGAGTGAAGGTTGATGGGGAACCTCCAGGAGCAAGAGATGATAGAGCGGAGGTGGGCATGCGGAAACACCACAAATATTGGTAGCGGTCGGGACTTCACATAGAAATCTACAGCACTTGAAATCAAGTAGAGGGGAAACCCTACATGGGTTTGTCTGAAAATAGAGTACCCCAAAAATGTCATCGTTGATCATCATGTTACTTTCCTATTAAAATAGCCGTAAGTTGGAGGTACACCCCATTTCAGACACACCCAGATATTGTCGGATCGTTGTTCCCACTACAGTATATACAAATATATATATATATTCCATCATATTCTCATGATGGTATTACTCAACATGCTAAGGTACCCGTGAAGTCTGGTCAGCCACTCAGCCATGCGGTATGCCAGCAAAATCAGCAGTTGGTGAATGGATTCTGGATGGCTAGATACATTTAAATTGGTGGTTAGTTAATGGCTAGTGAATCTGGATTCAGCAGCTTTCAACCGAAAGAACCAGCCATTCACCAACCATTAACTGGCCATTTTTTCTGACCATCAACAAAGCAATAACTGACCATTAACTAAACCATGAATCCACCAAATCAACCATGTTCCAGTGCTTCATCCCGTTTCCAAAAAAAAAAAGACATGACTTGGCTGACCGAGGAACGAGAGTTTCTTCCCATCGTGGCCATGAATCAATGGCAGGTGCGCGAAATCCGGCAGCATCCAACCCCTGGGTGCCATTGGAAGCCATGGATTTACTTCGATGATTTAGTTTCGATGATTTACCCTCTGGTTATTTAACATAGACATGGAAAATCCCTAATAAATGGAGGTTTTAATGGGAAAATCATCTATAAATGAGCCATTTTCCATGGCTATGTTAAATAACCAGAGGGTACCTATAATTTCATGGTGCTTTTAAAGAGCAAACTCCTACCAGAGAGTAGCAGTGATACCTCCAAGAACTAACTGAACTAACCCATCCAGCTGGCAGCTGCTGATCTGAAGAGAAAATGCCCAACACTTTCCCACAAAAGAAATGCCCAGCCCATCTGGTTTGATTCGCTGGACTGCAGTCATACAACCTGATTTCGATTATGGAAATCCATCGTTGGAAGTCCTACTGATCAACCAGTAGAAGGACCTGATACCATTTTTGGGGGGAATGAAAGGCAAGATGCCCTCGATTGAATTGCCACGAACATCAGTGGTAAGTTCATGGTAACTGTCCATTCGGGTTTCACAAAGACGAAACCCAATCAAATCCTCCAATCATCCACTAATCATCTATTATAAAATGGGCAAATAAATTTTAATCCTCCAATCATCCTCCAATTACCTCGTTAATCCCCCATAAAAATATGGTCTAAACGTCATTGCCCAGGCGCATGTTTTTGAAGACGGCAATCTGCCGGGCCGTATTTCCAATATGATCGGAGCCACGGATCACCTCCCGGCTGGTTCTAGGGATGCAACGGGGAATCGAACTACGAACCATTGCAATGATACTCCGCTTCTATATGGAATATCCCCAACCATAGAATGTTATACATATATATATATGTGTGTGTGTATGTACGTATATGTATATATGTATGTATGTATATATGTATATATGTATATATGCATATATGTATATATGTATATGTGTATGTATATATATATGTATGTATGTATGTATGTATGTATGTATGTATGTATGTATATATGTGTATATGTATATGTACATGTATATATATATATATGTATATGTATATATATATATACATATATATATGTATATGTATATGTATATATATATATATACATATATATGTATATGTATATGTATATGTGTATGTATATGTATATATTATATTATATTATATATATGGGTATATAAATCAGATATCTCATATATACATATATTTGATATTATATATATATTAGATTATATACATATATATTACATACATACATATTATATATATATACATACACCTATATTTCTTATATATAGGTTATCTGAGTTATGAATCACTCACCAACTGCTTTGCAACTTGTGCCTGAGTAACACCCATGTCATGGTCGTCCACCACAACAGCTAAGAGGTACGTGGGTGTACCATCTGCTCCTTGGACAGCGGCCTAGATCCCTGGATCCCCAGATGTTTCTTTCGTTTCATGGGGGATTAAGGAGGTATATCATGGATGATTCATGGGTGATTAATGTATGATTATGGATGATCAATGTTTCTATTTTTGTACCTGTTGTACCTCTTCTGCACAATTAAAACATTGATGTTAAGTGTGTTTAGGCTGTTTTGTGAGGTGCCAGAACCAAAAGACACGGTCACCTGTGAAATCCTATGAAAATACCTTTTTGCAGCGAAGGCGTGGTTCTTCAGTTTCCTCTCCTGCACCATATCCACCGTGTCTAACCCATCAAAACAACATGGCCCGCCAGCATGTCACTGCTGACAAGCACTGAGCGTCTCAAGATGATGAAGTCGTCCACATCTTTATTGGGAATCTCGATCTGGCCCATCACGCCGTCCTGACCCAACAAAAAAAGGAGGCGATGACATGGAAGACGCAAAATGGGTGCAAAAAATTGGAAAACCTGCAAAATTCAACGGCTTGAAATAAGTTTTGACATGAATCATAAATCTCAACTTCTGCATGTTTCCACCCATTCTGGAGTTAAAAAAACACATGTTTCATGGCTAAACCCCCATTTTTATGGTTAAGCCACCATTTTCATGATTTAACCCAGCATTTTCGGACATCCCCCAGCACCGAAAACCAGTCCTTCCAAGTGGTACAGCCTTCCTCCGGCGTTTTGATGCGCACCACCGGCTGGCGCCCCGCTGGTGGCGGTGCATCTGGTGGCACATTGCGCCCTGGGCGGCTGCATATGATGTATTATGTCACACATGCCGTGGATGTACTTATATGTTGCGCAGAATGCATGTATATACATAAGTATATATATTTTTTTTATTCATGTATATGTATGTATATATATATATACTTATTTATGTATATGTATTTGTATATATATATATACATACGTGTATAACATTGCCTTCATCTTTCATGTAAACCCCATTTTGACTTGAGACATTTCACATCACAACAACTCCAACATCCCTGCGGGAGGTGCTGAGTCTCCAGCATGTCCCAGGGTAGCGGAAGGCCACGCCCTTCTTTTCCGCCTGTAGGTGTGACACCTTCCAAATTTTAGGCTATGAAAAAATTGGTTATTCATATAAGAATATGATGATAAAAACATAAGAATTCCAACAAATTGAAAGCTTTTGTCTATACCCTCTGGTAAATAAACATAGACCCTGAAAATCACCAATTTTTAATGGAAACTAGTCTTCCAACCCCTATCTGCCAGGGTCTATGTTAATTTACCAGAGGGTATATGTTTGAGCAACTGGTTTTCGGTGGATGGATGCAGTTTATTGAAACCTTGAGATGGAATTCCGGAAAAAGGACCACGCGGCCACATCCAATTTAGCCACCAGTCCAATACAGGAAACTGCAGATACAGTGGCAAAAATCCAGCATCCTCAGAAAATCAACTGGAACTAGCAAGTGCCCTAGGAAACCGTCATCGCACCTCTTCTCTCATAGCATCCAACTCTTCCTTGGAACAGTAGCACTTGTAGGCCTCATGGAGCAGCCACCATGTCGCCGAGTGAGATCCTTGTCATCTAGTTTAGTTGGCAATGGGTCAAGACCTCTTCCCATTTCTTGTGGGGAAAAATATCCATTTACCAAAGTTTTAACTCATAGCCGTTTAGTCAGACGATCGCACGCCCTGATTTATTCACAGCATCTTTCTCTTTTCGGACGGAGAAACCAATGTCATCCAATGTCAAGACACCGTTGCACTGGCACTTACCTTCGTTTAAACGAACAGTTCGATGTGCAAAAAACACCATGATCATTTTCCAAACGGCGGCAAGCCCATGGGCAAACACCTGCGGCGCGGCAAGCCCCGCTTGGCATCCGAACCCCACCATTCGCCAAGAGCTGTGCGGCCACCTCCTTATGTCTTCCTGGCTGGGAAAGCCCCGAACTAAATGGAGGTTTCTTAAAAGGAAATCATTCATCTATAATTGTGATTTTTGTTTCCATTGCCATGTTTGATTACACGATATGGTGGTCTACTTTGCGATCTTTTCTTGACCCATTTGACCCCTAGAGAGATAAACAGAGGTACACTCCCAGACTTGAAGGTGGAAAGATGCATTTGCCAACAGGCAAACAGTGTTGTAAGGCTGTTTTTTCCAAACTGGCACGAGTCATGATCATTGTACATGACCGAATAAAACAACATTGAGAAGGCAAGAAGCACTTAGTTTTGGGTATTTGAACAGTTTCCTGTCAGTTGTTTGAAAGTAATGAAAGTAGAACTTTTGCACTCGTGGCCAGGTTTTTCTGTCAATCATGCATGAGAGCTGCCCCTTTGGCCCCATAGAAAGGCCCGATCCCTCCATCACCTACACCATACAGTGTGTCGTCCAAAACTGGGGTATTCCAGCAGTGTTGGTGTGCACAAGATACAAGATTTCATAGCCCTTCAAGGGCTTGTCATGTTTATGGAGCGGCTCCCACGAATTTCTCCACTGAAAGGCCCAGTCAGATCCCCATCCCAGCGACCAAAAAATCCTCGGGTCTCCTATATTTTCCCGCTGGCGAACGATGGCGCCATCGTGTGGGGTACCCATCCATGCCATCCCTTGCCTCAGAACGTTGCGGCGCTGAAAAAAAAGAACAACCTCCATGTCCAACACAGATTGCTTAGAATGCATGTACCCTCTGGTAAACTAACATAACTATGGAAAATCACCATTTTTAATGGGAAAACTCACTATAAATGGCAATTTTCAATAGCTATGTTAAATTACCAGAGGGTATCATGTATGCCGCAATGCCTCAAGATCAGGAAAACAGATTGACATGACTGTCATGAATGATACGACTATGATGTGACCATGATTGACTTGAAAATCACACACCTGTGTAGAGTCGCCAAAGGCGACTGCACGATTTCGCGACATGTTAGAAAGGGTCTCAAAGGAATGAACTGAATATGAATCGCCTGTGTATAGGCATCTATCATTTAAAACTGGATAAACAACATACCCCCTTAATTTCTCGCTTCAATCCCCACTATTGTCAATTAATATCACCATGATATCCTCATTACAGTGGATTTACATCATCCAAATATAAGCCTGAAATATTGCGCTATTGGAACAATAGTGTACTACAAGTTCCAGCTCTCCCATTATATCCCAGTATACAAACCAATTAGACTCCAGTATAAACCAGTCCTACAACTACCGAACATCCAAACACAACTTCTCGCGTTGCCATTGGAAGGTGGCCTACCATGTCATTCAGGCCATCACCTAGAACTATCGTTTTCTGATTATTTTCCCATGAGTACGCAGCTTCAGTTAATATACACTCGATATTTCTGTATTTACTTGTTCATTTTTTCATTGATGTGTTCATTGATTCATTCTCGTGTTTAATATTCATCCATGTATCTATTGATTTATACATTTATAGATATACATATCTATAGCCTCCACCTAGGAGTCCACAATATATGCTACACAAATCTATCGCAACAGTCCAACTGACACCTGCTCTGAGTCGCAGAATGGCGTCCACCGCGGCCTCATTGTGCCGTTCCGTGTCGGTGTCTTCAATGCCTCGGTGCCAATGGGAAGAATCCTCCAGGAAAATGGGGAATTTTCCAGCCGTGTTCGATTACCAGAGGGGTAGTTTTTAGGTTTGAAAATCATGCAAAAAATAAATCAAAATTTGTTTTTGGAGCCCCCGCACCTGTGAGAAATCCACAGTTGCAGCTAGCCAATCTTTGCTCTGACACATATGATCTTTTGTGGCACCACAGTGTCTTGGGTGTGGAAACCAAGTCACCAGCGTGAAACGAAGCTGAAACAACACAAAATCCATGTGGATCGATGTGGTACAAAACCACAACTCTGGAACTGTCCCAGTGGTAAGGTCTAAAGGAAATCAACTCTCCTATCTGTAGCCCATATTTCCCTTCTTTTCCATCAAGAATGGTGGATGTTCAAACCAAATTAGATTGAGGGTAATGGCGGAGTAGTCAGACCGAGAGGCGCATGAGAAATTTGCCCCCATGATGTTTCGCAAACCTGGGTGAAAACCAACACCCCACTTCACTGCCGAAGCAGGGGCTGGTTGGGAGGACCTAACCCCGAGAATTCTCCGCAAAGCCCCAACTGATTGGGAATACTTTCCCAGACCTTGAAATCCAAGGAATGCATCAACATTTGATGGGAAATTCTGGCATTTCGGGCATCAAGGTTTCCTGACATCTCCGTTACGTTCATATGGGGCGGACCGGGTTTGCCAGGCCACAGGTAGTTGAAGAGCGCCGTGCGTGCTCCACCAATGTGCAAATATCCCGTGGGCGACGGTGCAAAGCGGGTCACCACAGGCCTCGGGAACTCGGTTTTTCGGGAACTGTTTCGCCCGTCCGGTAGAGAGCTGTTTCAAAGGACTACGTCGACTACGTAGGTGGGAGCACATGGATAATCGCTTGTAACAAGCGCCCTACATCTGGTGACAAATGCTTTGTAAGTAGACAGTAAAAGCAATTTGTTGTGCGTGGGTTCGAAGGTGGTCACAATGAACGAATTATATTTCTGTTGCAAAAAGTACTGCAATCATGCTGGATGATGGACTGGCCATAGTTGGAACACCATGGCACTTCCTGAAACAATGATGATGATGATGATGATGGTGATGATGGGTGAGGATGAGAATGAGGATGAGGATGAGGATGATGAGGATGATGATGATGATGATGATGGTCATGGTCATGGTCATGGTCATGGTGATGGTGATGATTATGATGGTCATGGTCATGGTGATGGTGATGGTGGTGATGATGATGATGATGGATGAGGATGAGGATGAGGATGAGGATGAGGATGAGCATGACGATGATGATGATGATGGTGGTGATGATGATGATGGTGATCATGATGATGATGATGATGATGATGATTATGATGATGATGATGATGCCATCAGTGCCCTTCGCCCCTTGGTTCGCCCCATCCTGCTCGGCGCCGCTGGTGCTGCTGGGGCTGGCTTTGTTGGGCCGCAAGGTGGGGCATCGCTGCCAACCACCTGGGGCAAACCGCTACCCCAACATTACCATCAAAAATGAAGAAAATTATGCTAAACCCATGGATTTTGGTTTGTTATTTTTGGACAGAAACATTGCAAATTGAATTTTTGGGGGTCTTAACCTTCTTGACTTTGAACCCATGGTTGTACTGAGATTTTAAGCGTTTTGCACGGCACTATTGGATATATACTTAGCGGATACCAATGATTTTGCCCACCTTCAGCCCCACTTCCTTCAGATACCCCAGGTCCATGGCGTGGCGCATTGGCCCCGTTAGTGTTCCAAACGCTTCACCATTAAGACCATTGATCCTAGGAGTGGATAAAAAAATAAACTGGAAAAAAGGGACAAGTGTTGGTTCATGCAATTCAAACTGCACAAACGAGTGCAGGGTCACAAAAGGTTTTTCAGCAATGAAAATGTGTTCACATCCAAAAACAAAAAAACAAACAATGTGCAGAAATCCTTTTCGACAACATCGAACGCAACCAAACCAGGAATGTTCAAAAAAAAAAAATGACGAAAATTGGCAATCAAAACATCAGTTGTTCTTGTTTGTGTAGTTGATAGTTTATGTTTTTTAAATTTCAAAACATGTTCCAACACCTTCATTTTTTTTGCCATCATACCAAAACTAGGCATGTCCGCCAGTGCTACCAGTGGGATTGATATAACCCAATTTTGATTTCTCATAAAATGCACATGTCATTGGGCCTTACCTGGTGGGACCCGTTTTGATGTGACGCATCTGTTTGTCCATTATGCCACCTAAACCCACATGCACCAAGACAGTGAGGAACCAACTTGCCGAAGCAAATGCTGCAGATTCCAGGGTGAAATATGTTCTGGTGATGCCGTTCAAATTGTTACATTGTGAATTTCAACCAATTCACTTGCCTCAAATCATATTCCTGGGGTTTGCAAACCAATGTTTGCAACAGCTGCGATGTCACCCAAGCACCAAACAAAATATCAACCCTAAAAATGAAAATTGAAAAAAATCTGCAAAATCCATGACACTTGGGTTTGCTGTACGGTTCCCTGCAGGACTGTTTGCATGGCCATGCCGACATGGTGCACAGTCATTATTCTGCTACAAAACCGAGTTTCGGCGCGCAACATGCATTGCCACACTTGCTGTGAGTCGAAAAACGAAACCAAACAAATGATGATGATCAAATACAAATTGAACACGCAATTAAATGACCAGATTTGAATGTCAAAATGTCATCGCACAACTGCCGCTTGCCAATGGTGCATTCAATTTTTCCCCCGACAGTGTGGCCACACTGAGGGGTTCTTACGGTAGGTGTTAAGGCCCGGTGTTCAATCGAGGTGGTATCCGGGGCGTCCGGCATTTTCCCTGCAAATTTCCAGAATCCCTCTTGTGACATGTCCATGTGCATTTCGACTGCGCAGGCTCGCACAAAGTGCTGGTCGCGGGAGAAGCGTCCCGCATTTTCCCTGTAAATTTGCGCGCAAAATGCCTCTCGTGACATGTCCATGCTTGAAGCCGCTGCTGGGCCACGTTGGGGCATTCTGGGTGCCAGTAAAAATTTGTTGCGGCCATTCAAGCAATTCCCGCTTCCATTTGGGTGATTCTTGGTTGCGTTTCATGAATCCGAAACCTCCTGAGGGTAATTCTTAAGCCCAGTTTTGGCAATTTCAAACTTCAATTTGCGCAATTCTGGGTTCCACTTTGGCAAGTCATGATTCCTTTGACAATCCCCGGCTTTGGAAGGCACATGTTAGTGCATTTCGACTGCGCAGAATCGCACACAGTGCTGGTCGCGGGCGAAGCGTCCGGCATTTTCCCTGTAAATGTCCGCAAAAAATGCCTCTTGTGACATGTCCATGTGCATTTCGATTGCGAAGGCTCGCACAAAGTGCGCTTCCCGGTCTTGGGATCGGTCTTCCTCCTCAACATCATCCTCCTCAACATCAGCATCTTCCTCCTCCTTTTCAACATCCACATCATCATCTTCCTCTCATCATCATCATCATCATCATCATGATCATCATCATCACCATCACGGTCGTCATCATCATCATCATCGTCATGATCATCATCATCATCATCATCATCACGATCATCATCATCATCAACAACATTGCCATCTTCATCAACATTATCATCATCATTACCATCACCACCAACATTATAATGCATTATCCTTTTACTCCCCCCACACCGTTTGGGGTCACAAACCTACCGAGTAGAAGAGCATTTCCTTCATTCCTTCGCGACTCATCTCAATCATTTGAAATATACTTTAGCAGGGTTTCAAAGGCTTTCACAATAGAAGCTGTTTTGGGCTACCCCGCGCATACGTATACAGAAACGGCATCAAATACGCAAACAAAACACATGTTGCAAACGCATCTAGGATTGCCCAAGGACAGAAACCAAACATATGCAAAGCACATGTGAATCACATGTTGAAAAAGAACCGTCGCAAACCAGTCGCAAAAGGCCACAGGTAAATGGACATCAGGAGCTGGGCCAAACATGCTGCTTGAAACCCCGTCTCAGCTCATCAAAGCATTTTTCCAACTGTTGATGCGCCTTAGTCCCTGGTTAGAGTCGCCGCAAACTGAACCTATCCGGGGTTGA